TGTGTCCCGAGGATGTCCACAGCGTCCAGTCCTGTTTGTGCTCCTCAGTACAGCAGTGAGCAGCGACTGGCCGAGCGGTTACAATGTGGGGCTCTCATGTGTCCCGAGGATGTCCACAGCGTACAGTCCGGTTTGTGCTCAGTACAGCAGTAAGCAGCGACTGGCCGAGCGGTTACAATGTGGGGCTCTCATGTGTCCCGAGGATGTCCACAGCGTCCAGTCCTGTTTGTGCTCCTCAGTACAGCAGTGAGCAGCGGCTGGCCGAGCGGTTACAATGTGGGGCTCTCATGTGTCCCGAGGATGTCCACAGCGTACAGTCCGGTTTGTGCTCAGTACAGCAGTGAGCAGCGACTGGCCGAGCGGTTACAATGTGGGGCTCTCATGTGTCCCGAGGATGTCCACAGCGTCCAGTCCGGTTTGTGCTCCTCAGTACAGCAGTGAGCAGCGGCTGGCCGAGCGGTTACAATGTGGGGCTCTCATGTGTCCCGAGGATGTCCACAGCGTACAGTCCGGTTTGTGCTCAGTACAGCAGTGAGCAGCGACTGGCCGAGCGGTTACATTGTGGGGCTCTCATGTGTCCCGAGGATGTCCACAGCGTCCAGTCCGGTTTGTGCTCCTCAGTACAGCAGTGAGCAGCGGCTGGCCGAGCGGTTACAATGTGGGGCTCTCATGTGTCCTGAGGATGTCCACAGCGTACAGTCCGGTTTGTGCTCAGTACAGCAGTGAGCAGCGACTGGCCGAGCGGTTACAATGTGGGGCTCTCATGTGTCCCGAGGATTTCCACAGCGTCCAGTCCTGTTTGTGCTCCTCAGTACAGCAGTGAGCAGCGGCTGGCCGAGCGGTTACAATGTGGGGCTCTCATGTGTCCCGAGGATGTCCACAGCGTACAGTCCGGTTTGTGCTCAGTACAGCAGTGAGCAGCGACTGGCCAAGCGGTTACAATGTGGGGCTCTCATGTGTCCCGAGGATGTCCACAGCGTCCAGTCCGGTTTTTGCTCCTCAGTACAGCAGTGAGCAGCGGCTGGCCGAGCGGTTACAATGTGGGGCTCTCATGTGTCCCGAGGATGTCCACAGCGTACAGTCCGGTTTGTGCTCAGTACAGCAGTGAGCAGCGACTGGCCGAGCGGTTACAATGTGGGGCTCTCATGTGTCCCGAGGATGTCCACAGTGTCCAGTCCTGTTTGTGCTCCTCAGTACAGCAGTGAGCAGCGGCTGGCTGAGCAGTTACAATGTGGGGCTCTCATGTGTCCCGAGGATGTCCACAGCGTCCAGTCCTGTTTGTGCTCTTTAGTACCACTAAATGTGGGGCTCTCATGCGGGACACTCGGGTTAAAACCCTGGTGAGATGATAGAGTTTTTCTGTTGGGGACATTCTAGCCCGCACAGTTTGTGGCAACAGCACTAGCCATGCATCCCTAAATCCTCAGACTCCAGACCGCCTGCCTACACAGAGCCCTAAGCAGAGGTCCATACAGACAGTAATGAGAGTGCCAGTAGTCAGGTACCATATCATCATGGTTCAACAGTACTTTGACTTTGCTGTGATCCCTGCCTGCAGGAGTAGTCACTCATCCTTGGGACACACCTGCACTGGGCATATGATGCTCACCTGAATACTTGTTAGCAGAAGCAACATCAAAGTCACCTCCAGCTCCCTCACTTTTTTTCTTCAAGAATCAGCTCTCGAAGGGTGGTGTGGTTAATATCACACTAGCTGCCTTTGCTTCCCAGTAACATTCCTGGTACTCATTTGAGGCTGGATCAACAAAGAAGCCCTGACCACTTTAAAAAGATTTTTTTTAAAGGAGATAAGAACCTAAGATCACTAACCTTGAATGTAAGTAAGCTAACAACTGCCATACTAGCTCCTATTCATGTTCAGTCTGACCTACACTTCTCTGTACACCTGGTCTTTAGTAGATGTAGGTCAGCTGCATCATTTAACCATTTCTTTGGTTCTCTGGATCCTCCTCTCCTGCAACCTCACCGCATCTCTGTCTCTGCCCTTCTGCAACCTCATCACATCTCTGTCTCTGCCCTCCTGCAACCTCATCGCATCTCTGTCTCTGCCCTCCTGCAACCTCATCGCATCTCTGTCTCTGCCCTCCTGCAACCTCATCACATCTCTGTCTCTGCCCTCCTGCAACCTCATCGCATCTCTGTCTCTGCCCTCCTGCAACCTCATCGCATCTCTGTCTCTGCCCTCCTGCAACCTCATCGCATCTCTGTCTCTGCCCTCCTGCAACCTCATCGCATCTCTGTCTCTGCCCTCCTTCCACTAGTAAAAGTAATGACACCTTGAAAACATCACAGTTAATTAAATGTCACCTTGAAAACATCACAGTCGATTAAATGTCACCTTGAAAACATTACAGTCAATTAAATGACACCTTGAAAACATCACAGTTAATCAAATGTCATACACAAGATCACAGTTCTGTTAGAAGGCCTGAACAGCTGCTGTCTTGACATTTCCACCTACCAAATTGTTTTAAAAAAAAAGAAAACTAGGCTAGCAACTTCACAACTCGGTGTGTTCAATCATAAACACATTAAACACTGACGTCTACAGCCGTCAACTGCTACCTCTTCTAAATACCTCACAACACAGTTCTACACTTCACAGCAACAAACTTGTCAATGAAAATGGCTACCCTCAATTACCACAACAGGCCAGCCCTACTCTCCAGTTATGTTGTATGTACAACATTTAAAAACATCAAATTTTCTACAATATAGCATTTATTAACATTTCTACAATACAGAATTCATAAGAATCTAAGAAACCATCTCCATATACATAAACATGTTGCAAATTCTTTGGCAGAGAAATTCTACAACTAAAACATTGTGAACTGGTAAATTATTGATGAGCACATTCAGTGTATGGACTTCTCAGACAGTGACAGAAACAATGTGAACTGGTGAATTATTCATGAGCACATTCAGTGTATGGACTTCTCAGACAGTGACAGAAACAATGTGAACTGGTGAATTATTCATGAGCACATTCAGTGTATGGACTTCTCAGACAGTGACAGAAACAATGTGAACTGGTGAATTATTGATGAGCACATTCAGTGTATGGACTTCTCAGACAGTGACAGAAACAATGTGAACTGGTGAATTATTGATGAGCACATTCAGTGTATGGACTTCTCAGACAGTGACAGAAACAATGTGTGTGCAGGGTAACTAGTTGCTTATATATGGCTTTCTTTCTGCTTCTCTATTGTTGTGTGGGTGATGTAAATCTCACAGTGAGGCTAGATTCTGTGTTGTGTGGGTGATGTGAATCTCACAGTGAGGCTAGATTCTGTGTTGTGTGGGTGATGTGAATCTCACAGTGAGGCTAGATTCTGTGTTGTGTGGGTGATGTGAATCTCACAGTGAGGCTAGATTCTGTGTTGTGTGGGTGATGTGAATCTCACAGTGAGGCTAGATTCTGTGTTGTGTGGGTGATGTGAATCTCACAGTGAGGCTAGATTCTGTGTTGTGTGGGTGATGTGAATCTCACAGTGAGGCTGGATTCTGTGTTGTGTGGGTGATGTGAATCTCACAGTGAGGCTGGATTCTGTGCTGTGTGGGTGATGTGAATCTCACAGTGAGGCTGGATTCTGTGCTGTGTGGGTGATGTGAATCTCACAGTGAGGCTGGATTATGTGCTGTGTGGGTGATGTGAATCTCACAGTGAGGCTGGATTCTGTGCTGTGTGGGTGATGTGAATCTCACAGTGAGGCTGGATTCTGTGCTGTGTGGGTGATGTGAATCTCACAGTGAGGCTGGATTCTGTGCTGTGTGGGTGATGTGAATCTCACAGTGAGGCTGGATTCTGTGCTGTGTGGGTGATGTGAATCTCACAGTGAGGCTGGATTCTGTGCTGTGTGGGTGATGTGAATCTCACAGTGAGGCTGGATTCTGTGCTGTGTGGATGATGTGAATCTCACAGTGAGGCTGGATTCTGTGCTGTGTGGGTGATGTGAATCTCACAGTGAGGCTGGATTCTGTGCTGTGTGGGTGATGTGAATCTCACAGTGAGGCTGGATTCTGTGCTGTGTGGGTGATGTGAATCTCACAGTGAGGCTGGATTCTGTGCTGTGTGGGTGATGTGAATCTCACAGTGAGGCTGGATTCTGTGCTGTGTGGGTGATGTGAATCTCACAGTGAGGCTGGATTCTGTGCTGTGTGGGTGATGTGAATCTCACAGTGAGGCTGCATTCTGTGCTGTGTGGCTGATGTGAATCTCACAGTGAGGCTGGATTCTGTGTTGTGTGGCTGATGTGAATCTCACAGTGAGGCTGCATTCTGTGTTGTGTAGGTGATGTGAATCTCACAGTGAGGCTGGATTCTGTGCTGTGTGGGTGATGTGAATCTCACAGTGAGGCTGGATTCTGTGTTGTGTGGGTGATGTGAATCTCACAGTGAGGCTGGATTCTGTGTTGTGTGGGTGATGTGAATCTCACAGTGAGGCTGGATTCTGTGCTGTGTGGCTGATGTGAATCTCACAGTGAGGCTGGATTCTGTGCTGTGTGGCTGATGTGAATCTCACAGTGAGGCTGGATTCTGTGCTGTGTGGGTGATGTAAATCTCACAGTGAGGCTGGATTCTGTGCTGTGTGGCTGATGTGAATCTCACAGTGAGGCTGGATTCTGTGTTGTGTGGGTGATGTGAATCTCACAGTGAGGCTGGATTCTGTGTTGTGTGGGTGATGTGAATCTCACAGTGAGGCTGGATTCTGTGTTGTGTGGGTGATGTGAATCTCACAGTGAGGCTGGATTCTGTGTTGTGTGGGTGATGTGAATCTCACAGTGAGGCTGGATTCTGTGCTGTGTGGGTGATGTGAATCTCACAGTGAGGCTGGATTCTGTGTTGTGTGGGTGATGTGAATCTCACAGTGAGGCTGGATTCTGTGTTGTGTGGGTGATGTGAATCTCACAGTGAGGCTGGATTCTGTGTTGTGTGGCTGATGTGAATCTCACAGTGAGGCTGGATTCTGTGCTTCACTCAGAGCCGCTATGGACCAGGCTGTAGAAGATGCTGCTAACATCTGCTAGCAATTCTCTGGGAGAAGCAAACTCCTTCACCTCACCAAATTCCAGCACCATGACTCTGTCGTAGTTGATGATTGAGGACAGTCGATGCTGCAGACATAAATAATCAATTATCACATAGTTGATGATTGAGGACAGTCGATGCTGCAGACATAAATAATCAATTATCACATAGTTGATGATTGAGGACAGTCGATGCTGCAGACATAAATAATCATTTATCACATAGTTGATGATTGAGGAGAGTGATGCTGCAGACATAAATAATCATTTATCACATAGTTGATGATTGAGGACAGTCGATGCTGTAGACATAAAAAATCATTTATCACATAGTTGATGATTGAGGACAGTCGATGCTGCAGACATAAATAATCATTTATCACATAGTTGATGATTGAGGAGAGTCGATGCTGCAGACATAAATAATCATTATCACATAGTTGATGATAGAGGAGAGTGGATGCTGCAGACATAAATAATCATTTATCACATAGTTGATGATAGAGGACAGTCGATGCTGCAGACATAAATAATCATTTATCACATAGGTAATGATTGAGGACAGTCGATGCTGCAGACATAAATAATCATTTATCACATAGTTGATGATTGAGGAGAGTCAATGCTGCAGTCATAAATAATCATTTATCACATAGGTAATGACTGAGGAGAGTCGATGCTGCAGACATAAATAATCATTTATCACATAGTTGATGATTGAGGACAGTCGATGCTGCAGACATAAATAATCATTTATCACATAGTTGATGATAGAGGACAGTCGATGCTGCAGACATAAATAATCATTTATCACATAGGCGATGATTGAGGACAGTCGATGCTGCAGACATAAATAATCATTTATCACATAGGCGATGATTGAGGACAGTCTATGCTGCAGACATAAATAATCATTTATCACATAGGTGATGATTGAGGACAGTTGATGCTGCAGACATAAATAATCATTTATCACATAGGCGATGATTGAGGACAGTCTATGCTGCAGACATAAATAATCATTTATCACATAGGTGATGATTGAGGACAGTCGATGCTGCAGACATAAATAATCATTTGTCACATAGGTAATGATTGAGGACAGTCGATGCTGCAGACATAAATAATCATTTATCACATAGGTGATGATTGAGGAGAGTTGATGCTGCAGACATAAATAATCATTTATCATGTAGCTGATGATTGAGGAGAGTGGATGCTGCAGACATAAATAATCATTTATCACCTAGTTGATGATTGAGGACAGTCTATGCTGCAGACATAAATAATCATTTACCACATAGGTGATGATTGAGGAGAGTTGATGCTGCAGGCATAAATAATCATTTACCACATAGTTGATAATTGAGGACAGTCGATGCTGCAGACATAAATAATCATTTATCACATAGTTGATGACTGAGGACAGTCGATGCTGCAGACATAAATAATCATTTATCACATAGGTGATGATAGAGGACAGTCTATGCTGCAGACATAAATAATCATTTATCACACAGGTGATGATTGAGGAGAGTCGATGCTGCAGACATAAATAATCATTTATCACACAGGTAATGATTGAGGACAGTTGATGCTGCAGACATAAATAAGCATTTATCACATAGGTGATGATTGAGGACAGTCGATGCTGCAGACATAAATAATCATTTATCGCATAGGTAATGATTGAGGACAGTCGATGCTGCAGACATAAATAATCATTTATCACATAGGTGATGATAGAGGAGAGTGGATACTGCAGACATAAATAATCATTTATCACATAGTTGATGTTTGAGGAGAGTTGATGCTGCAGACATAAATAATCATTTATCACATAGTTGATGACTGAGGAGAGTTGATGCTGCAGTCATAAATAATCATTTACCACATAGGTAATGATTGAGGACAGTCAATGCTGCAGACATAAATAATCATTTATCACATAGGCGATGATTGAGGACAGTCTATGCTGCAGACATAAATAATCATTTATCACATAGTTGATGATTGAGGAGAGTTGATGCTGCAGACATAAATAATCATTTATCACATAGGTGATGATAGAGGAGAGTTGATGCTGCAGACATAAATAATCATTTATCACATAGGTGATGATAGAGGAGAGTCGATGCTGCAGACATAAATAATCATTTATCACATAGTTGATGATTGAGGAGAGTCGATGCTGCAGACATAAATAATCATTTATCACATAGGGAATGATTGAGGAGAGTCGATGCTCCAGACATAAATAATCATTTATCACATAGGTGATGATAGAGAAGAGTCGATGCTGCAGACATAAATAATCATTTATCACATAGGCGATGATAGAGGAGAGTTGATGCTGCAGACATAAATAATCATTTATCACATAGGCGATGATAGAGGAGAGTGGATTCTGTGGTCACAAATGATCACTTATCGTCATAATGTGGAAGTATACAATAGAATATAACTGAAACTGTAACCTGCCATATAGATTCTTCAGCCTTCACTGGTTCCCCCGCCTCAAGTAATGTCACACCTAGGCTATCAAGACTGTATATATCATATACAAATCTATGGCAGTGCAACTGAAACGTTACGTTGTATCAGAGCTAACTCTTTGTCCAGCCTCAATGTTAACATTGTATCAGAGCTAACTCTTTGTCCAGCCTCAATGTTAACATTGTATCAGAGCTAACTCTTTGTCCAGCCTCAATGTTAACATTGTATCAGAGCTAACTCTTTGTCCAGCCTCAATGTTAACATTGTATCAGAGCTAACTCTTTGTCCAGCCTCAATGTTAACATTGTATCAGAGCTAACTCTTTGTCCAGCCTCAATGTTAACATTGTATCAGAGCTAACTCTTTGTCCAGCCTCAATGTTAACATTGTATCAGAGCTAACTCTTTGTCCAGCCTCAATGTTAACATTGTATCAGAGCTAACTCTTTGTCCAGCCTCAATGTTCACATTGTATCAGAGCTAACTCTTTGTCCAGCCTCAATGTTCAATTTTATGCTTTTTTTTCCTCAAATGGTAATCAACTTTATCTATTCCAATCTCAAGAATAGAACAGAATGTCTGAGAAGAATAGAAGAAGCTGAAACAGAGGCAGAAAAAGACATAAACAAAGGAAGACAACAATGACAAGGAAAAGAAGCACAGTTGAAGAGAAAGAAACAAGACAGGTATGATGACAATTGTGTAGGAAAAAAATGAAATGAGGATCAGGAAGTGAGAAAAGGACAAAAGAAAAAGGAATAAACAAATGTACAGAAAGAAACAGCAGAAGAAATGAAAGACTAAAAGGAGAGTGATATCAAGAAGAAAAAGAAGGAGAAAAACAAAATGGTGAGAAAGAACTGGATACAGCAGAAAAGAACAAGGAACGGGTGGAACAAAATGGAGAAAGCACAAAAGAAAGATGTAGAGTTAAAGAAGTGATGCCTAACACTGCACTCACAGCTATGGTAATAATGGTTTTATTCTGCAATGCTGGGCTGTGGATAATGGCCTGGATGTGGTTATCCGTCTCAGTATCGATGGAGGCTGTGGCTTCATCCATGATCAAGATGTTGGAGTCACACAAGAAGGCTCTAGCCATACACAGTAGCTGCCAACATATCAACAATGAAGCTAACCATCATTCACATATGGCTCATTAACAGTAATAACAACAGGAATACTTGACCATTTTGACCCCCCCCCCCCCCCCCCCCAACCCCTTTTTTTTTTAATTATCTGTTAAAAAGTTCTGATTAAATCAAATGCATCATTAGAATTCTCAGAAACTGTCTGAAGAAACTACAGGAAGAGAAGAATAAGCGGCAGAAATGTGGAGTTGACTTTGAAGCAGACAGGCAAGTGTGATGTCCACAGCTACATCAGGGCAGGCCAATCACTGAATTAATTCTTCTTCTTCGTTCACCAGCTGTGAATTCCAGCGGAAGGTCCTGGTTAATCGTCCGCTTGAACCTTTGGCTTTTATCTGGACCTGAGTTTTGCGTTTACAACCGTTTTACTGGCATTTGCCGTTCCCTGTCTCACGGGCAGATGTACTCCGACTTGGAGGGAAGACGTCAGTCCTATTTCTAGGATGAACTGAAATAGTGAATGTTAACTGTATGTTTTTTAAATAATTTTTTATTGCAGAACTAATGCTTTCTTTAAAGGGAGTTGAGCTGAGTTGAGTTGAGTCAAGAATTCACAGCACTCGGGGCATTCCCATGCATGCTCCGTCCTCATCTTCAACAGCCAACGTAGAGTTCTAATACTGATGGTACCGGTCACAATCTGGTTATATGTCTTGCCTTTTCTCTGAGTGTAGTGAACCAGCCAGACCCTCTGGTTACACTCTGGTGCCTCATTCTCTCTAGGCCATAATTATCTTCTTTCTCTACTGATTCCGTTGCTTGTTCCCAAAGGGCCTTGACCCCATCTGCCTTGTCATGTATCAATTCATCACCCAGTGGTGCAGATCCAGCCAATCTATCTGCCTGTTCTGGTAATCCGGTAAACTGGTAATTTTAATTTCAGCTTCATAGCAAACGGGTCACCCCATCTTTGCTCCGCTCCTGTGCCAATGAAAAACACACAGAATGTTTATCACAGTCCCTTGTGGAAAGACTGACAAACTGCTGTCTCAGCAAATTTAGCATACACTCGCATTAAAAGCATATTATTGCCTGTTCATTACCCACCACGACAGCACAGCCTGGAGAAAAGATCCAAAGTATGCTTACCACCAGTGACCTTTCTAGTATTCCTTCACATTGCAACATCCAAATGACACCAGCTTCCTTCACACTACTACATCCAAATGAGACCAGCATTCCTGGACAGTTACATCTAAATGACACTGTGTCTTTATTTCACTGATATTATTCAACTCCTGCAGCCCCAAGCTTCACATGATAACTAGTCTGTCTTTGTATCACCAGACACCACAGTCTAGGTTTCTTCACACTTTAGTCTCACTGTCCCTTTGCTATCACCCAGTTGTTGTGACTTGAAACAATAGTGGCTTTTCATGCTGTCCCACAGACTGTGTATGTCCACCCATGTCAACTCTATCAGAATGCTAGTCACATTCTGGAATGGGAAAAGTGTTGAAGCAATAGCTGTCTGAGACTGAACAAGTTCACCCTTGCCTCCCCTCACCAACGATGTTGCTTTTCATGCCACAGCATTGTGTCCCCAGTATCCTCAATGGTCTTCTAAAAATCTTATCTCTAGTGCCCCACAGCATTGTGTCCCCAGTATCCTCAATGACCTTCTAGAAATCTTATCTCTAGTGCCCCACAGCATTGTGTCCCCAGTATCCTCAATAATCTTCTAGAAATCTTATCTCTAGTGCCCCACAGCATTGTGTCCCCAGTATCCTCAATGGTCTTCTAGAAATCTTATCTCCAGTGCCCCACAGCATTGTGTCCCCAGTATCCTCAATAATCTTCTAGAAATCTTATCTCTAGTGCCCCACAGCATTGTGTGTTCCTCTCTGTCCCTAATATCCTCAATCAATATAACAAGTGCTATCTCATCAATACAACCAGTGCTATCTCATCAATACAACCAGTGCCATCTCATCAATACAACCAGTGCCATCTCATCAATACAACCAGTGCCATCTCATCAATACAACAAGTGCCATTCCATCAATACAACAAGTGCCATCTCATCAATACAACAAGTGCCATCTCATCAATACAACAAGTGCCATCTCATCAATACAACAAGTGCCATCTCATCAATACAACAAGTGCCATCTCATCAATACAACCAGCACTTGCTGGCCACAGTTTCTCTCACCTGTCTCTGGCCAACACTGAAGTTCTCCCCTCCTTCAACGACATCCGAGTCTGCAGACAAACAAAGCAGAACACATTTCCAAGACAATCCCAAACACAAATAAATTAATAACAATCAAAAAATTATATGTGACCCTTCACCCCAGTTTACCACAAAAAAAAAAATCCAAACTCCTATACTTTGCTTTGGGGAAGGAAAAAAAGGGGAAGGAGGGGTGGTCCTGAAAAAAAAAGCCCTTGAATTAAAAAAATCATTTACACATATCAAATTTTTTTTTAAATCGTACAAAATCAAAAGTCGTCAACAAAAACATAAATAAATAGATTGTAAAGGTCATTCTCTTCTGCCTTTCTATCAGCCAATGGAGCATGGGCCCTCAACCAACTCACGCCACGTCGTTCTATCCTTCGCCATTGCATGGAGCTCTTTCTATGTCCTCCCCATCTCTTCTCCACGTGTTTTTTGGCCTTCCTTTATTCCTATGCCACCGTGGGTTCCAATGCAAAGAAATTCTAGTTATGCTATTCTCCTGTTTTCTATAAAAGTCATTAATCAATAAAAATGATCTCTGTGTGGGTTTTGGGGACCCATTATGGGGAAAACAAGAACAGACCCACTGCCTACCCAACAAGCACGTCATCAGAGTCAACTAACTGGCAGCTTCCTTTGAAGTCAGAGTGCAACTGCCTACAAGGCAAGAAATCAACAATCTGCATACAAATAAGTCAGATCTGTAAAACAGATGTGCATGCAACATTCAGGTTCTGGAATCAGAATGAACTGCAGAGGCGGACGAAGAGCCAGAACCTTCTGCCAGAGTTTACAGCCGCTGAATGCCAACAAAGAAAAAGAAGAAAAGAGAATGCAGCCTAGATTCAACTGGCTGACATCTCTTGGTGCCTGTAAACTAATTATAGTGTGATGTTGACCTGACCCTGTGACCCCCTGGCCACTGTAGCCAATGGGGAAATATCACAAATATATAGTTCTTAAATATAAAGTCATTAAAAAAAATTGGAAACCCCTTTAAATGCTATTTTGAATCAATCCAGTCATTCCCTGTCCCACTGAACATTTGCGAACATGAAATTCATTCTGTTAGTTAAATGTATGGAAAGCATGTGTCTTTAGCGAGTCAGGAAAATGACTTTATGGGGAAATAGTACCAATCAGTCTTGTGGGTTTTGTGGCCTCTCAGGGTGCAAGGATTCAATGAAGTAGAGAGTAGTTTGGCTCCTAGGCTGGATATTCAGTTCTAAATAAAGCAAGCCTGGTAAGATTGTGTGTGTTGGCAGTGTGGATCTGAACCTGATCAGTACAAGATAGTATACATTCCTTGATCTCCAACACTGTGATGAAGTAACTGCCAGAAGTGCAGAGGAAGCAGCAACAGCAGAAGAAGAAGAGGAGGAGGAGAAGCAGGAGATCCCGAAGTAACAAAACAAGATGCCCTCTTGTCTAGAAGCTTCCTGTATCTTATACATCATCTTAGCATAGAAAATTATATAATATAGACCCGTGTAGACTGAATTATACCAATACTAAATGATGCAAAAACAACATAAGAAGTTGTAGATGTATTGTCATGTTGTTATTAGGAGATAAACTACAAGGGCAATTGGCAGCAATTGTGGATCTCAGAAAGAAGATTGACTCTGGACGCCACAGTAAATAACCGCCTTATTGTGCTAACTTTCCTGTCTGCCATATGCAGGAATAACTTATAAATGAAGAAGTACCTAGAGTAATATGATGATGCCTTCTCCACTGTTCTTCTTTGTTTCTGTTGAAGATCTGTCTGTGCATATGTGCAAAGAAAGAAGAGAAATGTCTGGACAAACACTTGTACCCTGAGATAAATACTGTTAGAAGGCTAAAGGAGCTGGACTAAACTCTGTCCCTGATAATGAGAGGACAGCACAGGATAGAAGACCTTGAGTCTAATGTGACATATAACAGCACAACATTCTGAAGATGATGATGATAATACAGATTCAGTAAACTTCCTAACACTTTGCCTGATAACAGATGGGTAACCAAGTAAGGAAGAGGCTCTCACCTAACTGATCCGGCAGTGCAGCAACAAATTCCTTTAACTGAACAGACTCAAGGGCTGACCAGAGCCTTTCATCTGAGCGCCTCTTGTTTGGATCTAGGTTAAATCTGTCAAATACAAAAAGCTGCAAACATTAAAACTGTCAAATAAATCTTACAAACTCAATCTAATTCAAAGACATTGGTAACCTTATTCCATTATAAAGGTCAAGGAACTGCCCCAGGTGGGAAACACAAATACCACAAACAACAAAAAGGTGTCACTTTCAGTCTACATGTATGCAACAAACATTACAACTGACAATGGTAAACAAACTCTCAGTGTCACTTTCAGTCTACATGTATGCAACAAACATTACAACTGACAATGGTAAACAAACTCTAAGTGTCACCTTCAGTCTACATGTATGCAACAAACATTACAACTGACAATGGTAAACAAACTCTTAGTGTCACTTTCAGTCTACATGTATGCAACAAACATTACAAATGACAATGGTAAACAAACTCTCAGTGTCACTTTCAGTCTACATGTATGCAACAAACATTACAACTGACAATGGTAAACAAACTCTCAGTGTCACTTTCAGTCTACATGTATGCAACAAACATTACAACTGACAATGGTTAACAAACTCTCAGTGTCACTTTCAGTCCACATGTATGCAACAAACTTTACAACTGACAATGGTAAACAAACTCTCAGTGTCACTTTCAGTCTACATGTACGCAACAAACATTACAACTGACAATGGTAAACAAACTCTCAGTGTCACTTTCAGTCCACATGTATGCAACAAACTTTATAACTGACAATGGTAAACAAACTCTCAGTGTCACTTTCAGTCTACATGTATGCAACAAACATTACAACTGACAATGGTAAACAAACTCTCAGTGTCACTTTCAGTCCACATGTATGCAACAAACATTACAACTGACAATGGTAAACAAACTCTCAGTGTCACTTTCAGTCCACATGTATGCAACAAACATTATAACTGACAATGGTAAACAAACTCTCAGTGTCACTTTCAGTCCACATGTATGCAACAAACATTATGACTGACAATGGTAAACAAACTCTTAGTGTCACTTTCAGTCTACATGTATGCAACAAACATTACAACTGACAATGGTAAACAAACTCTCAGTGTCACTTTCAGTCTACATGTATGCAACAAACATTATAACTGACAATGGTAAACAAACTCTCAGTGTCACTTTCAGTCTACATGTATGCAACAAACATTACAACTGACAATGGTAAACAAACTCTCAGTGTCACTTTCAGTCTACATGTATGCAACAAACATTACAACTGACAATGGTAAACAAACTCTCAGTGTCACTCTCAGTCTACATGTATGCAACAAACATTACAACTGACAATGGTAAACAAACTCTCAGTGTCACTTTCAGTCTACATGTATGCAACAAACATTACAACTGACAATGGTAAACAAACTCTCAGGGTCACAAGCTCTGAATACTAGGGCTCCATAATCTAAAACAATGGCTACTGTTGAACCAAAGTCAGGAAGAGATTGGCCAACAGACCTGTGTTTGTTGTGTTTTTATTTTCAAACTGTTCAGTCTGTATCTGGGAGCCACCATGGTCTAACGGCTAGATGCTCCCCTGCCGATCGGAAGGTCGTTGGTTCAGCTCCTGATTTGGGCCGGACTTTTTTCAAAAAGGACCTAGGCTCCCAGGTCAACCCAGCCTTGAATGGGTACCAGGTACAGTCCTGGGAAGTAAAGGTGGCTGGCGTGATGCTGACTTCATCACCCACCAAGTGCGGTTTGGTCTATAAAAGACAGGTCTAGCCCTATATACCCAATACACCTAAAAGGTGTGGGAAAAGGGTCCTTCAGTTTGTACCGGTATAAATATACTGTTCATGCAGTATTAGAGACTGTGGGGCCAACACCTAGGCATCTGATGAATATGTAGCAACATCAGTTATGCACAGACACTGTTTATTCACACAGACTGAAAACAGCTAGTACCACTACTCAAATATTTCTTTCCAGAATGCTTACAGCAAAAAGAAGATAATGACGATCATAATAATTTTCAGTAATGGCCATGAGTTGCTGGGATCTGTAAGGGAAGTAAACAATATTAACACTATAAATGACCATGCATGTCTAAGAAGCAACTCAGGAGGGTTGGTATGGGACTGACTATCCCCTACCTTAGCAGAAAAATGCAACCATACACTGAATGAATCAACAAAGGACCTGCATGTATTGAAGATGTATTGAAGATTGGGATGGAAGGAGAGAGATATATAAGATAACTGGGGTAAAGAAGGAAGAGAGGAGAAGAACAAGGAAAGGAGAGACGGAAGGAGATAGGAAATGAGGGAGGGAAGAGATGGAGGAAAGGGTGCAGGTAGAGAGAGGGGAAGGGGTGGGTGAGAGAAAAAGAAAAGAGATAGAGATAGAAATAGCAAGCAAGTCTACAAGAATTAGAGGTTGGACACCATATCTGTAAGCCATCACAGCCCACTGGCTGACTGAGTAAAAACATGACAAACATGGCCCAGACCTGAGTGAACAGAATGTTTCAACTGTCTTGTACTGAAGTCTGCTAAACTCTACACTCAGGTTTATGCTACAGAAACTGTACCTGAGTGACCCAGTAAACAAGACGGGGTCCTGTGGTATGATGGCTAGCCGGGATCTCAAGGTGGACAAGTCCACCCTGGTTATGTCCAGCTCGTCGATGAGGATTGTGCCTTCAATAATATCCAGCATGCGAAACAAGGCCAGTGTTGCTGAGGTCTTGCCACTACCTGTGCGGCCACAAATTCCAATCTGTTGAGACAACAGACACATTCAAGTAATGGAGCAGGCAGACAACAGACTTGTTCAAGTAATGGAGCAGGCAGACAAAGACATCTGTTTGATATCTGGAGAATAACTAAAATATCACTAGACATATGTTTAATACATGGCCAATAATTAAAATAATTACTAATGAACTATAAACATTTATTAACTGGTGCCTGCACAGAACAGAGGGAATTAAAAAATATGACCTGCCTGTGTGGGTTCTGAGACCCCATATTTGGGTGGATGGTAGAGAGAATAGACCCACTGCCCCCCCCCCCCCTTTTCCCCACCAATAAGCCTGTATTTAAAGGCAACTGGTCAGAGATTTGCTGTGTTAGCCAAAAGGTGCAGAAATCATACCCTAGCTGTAAACAACACAATGTGTTAACTGCCCTTTAAAAGAGAATTATGGTGAAGAAGAAGGAGGAGGAGGACGCTGAGGAGGAGGAGGAAGAGGACGCTGAGGAGGAGGAGGAAGAGATGAAGAAGTAGAATAAGAAGAATCAATGATATGACCAGAAGCATGAATGTACAGCTTTGTGGGGAGGGGGAAACTAAACAGGTTCCAGTGAATCAGGAGGTGAGGAAAAGATGCTGGAATTGGACAGGACAGAGGTTAAAGAATCAGACAATAAAATAACCAGAATGTTCCTGCACTTGAGCCCATGGTGTCAAAGAAATAAATAGGCAGACCAAAAACACACTCAGGAGAAAGTTAAAGGATGAGGTGAAAAGTGGGGAGAACATCGGGTGAGCTGCATGCAATAGCAGGAAGTCCTGGCATGAGCTAGCTAAGAACCTATACTCTGTTTGGCGGATTTAAAAAACTGAGGCACAAGAAGTTATTTAAGATGTTGTAATAGGATGACACACACAATTATAAGTGGTCCAGTTTCTAAAGGACTTTTAGGATAAATAGTAAAGGCAGAAGAAGATCACCTACACCACGCAGCATGACACTCAATGATGGCTGTGAAAACATGATACCGCTGCTTAGATAAACTTTACTATTTTAGTAACTGATGTCAGTTATAATTTCTAACAGAATCATTCATTTTATTTTACAACTCTCATTGCCTTTTATTAAAAGTTAAAGGTTTTCAAATGTTACTTCACACATCTAAGAAACATATTTCCTCAATGAGAAGTTGACAAACTGTACTAGACACAGATGGAATCAGACTCAACAATGAGAAGTTGACTCACTGCAATAGAGACAGATGGAAGCAGACTCAACAATGAGAAGTTGACTCACTGCAATAGAGACAAGGAAACAGACTCAACAATGAGAAGTTGACTCACTGCAATAGACACAATGAGAAGTTGACACAATCTACTAGACACAGATGGAAGCAGACTCAACAATGAGAAGTTGACACAATCTACTACACACAGATGGAAGCAGACTCAACAATGAGAAGTTGACACAATCTACTACACACAGATGGAAGCTACTCAACAATGAGAAGTTGACACAATCTACTAGACACAGATGGAAGCAGACTCAACAATGAGAAGTTGACACAATCTACTACACACAGATGGAAGCAGACTCAACAATGAGAAGTTGACACAATCTACTACACACAGATGGAAGCTACTCAACAACGAGAAGTTGACACAATCTACTAGACACAGATGGAAGCTACTCAACAACGAGAAGTTGACACAATCTACTAGACACAGATGGAAGCAGACTCGACAATGAGAAGTTGACACAATCTACTACACACAGATGGAAGCTACTCAACAATGAGAAGTTGACACAATCTACTAGACACAGATGGAAGCAGACTCAACAATGAGAAGTTGACACAATCTACTACACACAGATGGAAGCAGACTCAACAATGAGAAGTTGACACAATCAACTACACACAGATGGAAGCTACTCAACAATGAGAAGTTGACACAATCTACTACACACAGATGGAAGCTACTCGACAATGAGAAGTTGACACAATCTACTAGACACAGATGGAAGCTACTCAACAATGAGAAGTTGACACACTGTAATAGACACAAATGGAAGCAGACTTAATGCAAAAGAGAACAATATATTACAACAAAATACTCCAGAAAAAAAAAATACCTTTTCCCCTCCTTCTATCAAAAAAGATGCATGGTGAAGAACCAAGTCCTCATCAGGGGCATAACTCAAGGACACTTGTCTGAACTCGATCCTGCCAGTACTGGGCCACGACTCTGGAACCGTTACCGGGCCAGCTGCATGTACAAAAACAATATCCAAAAAGAAAATAACATGTTGTTTTACATATGAAAGAAGTCTGGCAAGTTAAGAATTTCCAACAATACTGAAATGTCTGGCCAGTTAACAATTTCTAAAAATATTTAAATGTCTGGCTAAATAACACATTCTAACAATCCTGAAGTGTCTGGCCAGTTAATATCTAACAATACTGAAATGTCTGGCTAAATAACACATTCTAACAATCCTGAAGTGTCTGGCCAGATAAAAAAAAATGTATAACAATATTAAAATTTCTGGCCAGTTAAGAATTTCCAACAATACTGGAATGTCTAAATGTAACATTAATATTCTAATGTTGTCTTCTTTGTAGGGGCGGGGGGCGGAAAGGAAAGGAGGGGGAGGGGGGGGGGGTCTTTGTTTTTATTGTTGTTACAGATTGAGGTGTCTAGGAAGATACAAGGTTTTGGTTTCTGGTCTTCTGGCTGCCTTAACAACATACACATCCTTATACGGTTAATAAAGCATTGCATCACAAGGCATTGCCTCGTAAGGCTCATAAAGTATTGCATCACAAGGCATTCCCTCGTAAAGTTCATAAAGTACTGCATCACAAGGCATTCCCCCATGAAGTTCATAAAGCATGGTATAACAAGGCATTTCCTCGTACAGCTAAAAAATTATGGCACCACAAGGCATTCCCTCGAATGGCTCATAAAGAATGGCACCACAAGGCATTCCCTCATAAGGCTTATAAAGTATGGCACCACAAGGCATTCCCTTGCATGGCTCATAAAGTATGGCACCACAAGGCATTCCCTCGTAAGGATCATAAAGTATGGCACCACAAGGCATTCTCTCGTAAGGCTCATAAAGTATGGCACCACAAGGCATTCCCTCATAAGGCTCATAAAGTATGGCACCACAAGGCATTCTCTCGTAAGGCTCATAAAGTATGGCACCACAAGGCATTCCCTCGTAAGGCTTATAAAGTATGGCACCACAATGCATTCCCTCATAAGGCTCATAAATTATGGCACCAAAAGGCATTCCCTGATAAGGCTCATAAAGTATGGCACCACAATGCATTCCCTGATAAGGCTCATAAAGTATGGCACCACAAGGCATTCCCTTGCAAGGCTCATAAAGTATGGCACCACAAGGCATTCCCTCGTAAGGTTCATAAAGTATGGCACCAAAAGGCATTCCCTGATAAGGCTCATAAAGTATGGCACCACAAGGCATTCCCTGATAAGGCTCATAAAGTATGGCACCAAAAGGCATTCCCTGATAAGGCTCATAAAGTATGGCACCAAAAGGCATTCCCTGATAAGGCTCATAAAGTATGGTACCAAAAGGCATTCCCTGATAAGGCTCATAAAGTATGGCACCAAAAGGCATTCCCTGATAAGGCTCATAAAGTATGGCACCAAAAGGCATTCCCTGATAAGGCTCATAAAGTATGGCACCAAAAGGCATTCCCTGATAAGGCTCATAAAGTATGGCACTAAAAGGCATTCCCTGATAAGGCTCATAAAGTATGGCACCAAAAGGCATTCCCTGATAAGGCTCATAAAGTATGGCACCACAATGCATTCCCTGATAAGGCTCATAAAGTATGGCACCACAAGGCATTCCCTTGCAAGGCTCATAAAGTATGGCACCACAAGGCATTCCCTCGTAAGGTTCATAAAGTATGGCACCAAAAGGCATTCCCTGATAAGGCTCATAAAGTATGGCACCACAAGGCATTCCCTGATAAGGCTCATAAAGTATGGCACCAAAAGGCATTCCCTGATAAGGCTCATAAAGTATGGCACCAAAAGGCATTCCCTGATAAGGCTCATAAAGTATGGTACCAAAAGGCATTCCCTGATAAGGCTCATAAAGTATGGCACCAAAAGGCATTCCCTGATAAGGCTCATAAAGTATGGCACCAAAAGGCATTCCCTGATAAGGCTCATAAAGTATGGCACCAAAAGGCATTCCCTGATAAGGCTCATAAAGTATGGCACTAAAAGGCATTCCCTGATAAGGCTCATAAAGTATGGCACCAAAAGGCATTCCCTGATAAGGCTCATAAAGTATGGCACCAAAAGGCATTCCCTGATAAGGCTCATAAAGTATGGCACCACAAGGCATTCCCTTGTATGGCTCATAAAGTATGGCACCACAAGGCATTCCCTCGTAAGGCTCATAAAGTATGGAACTACAAGGCATTCCCTCGTAAGGATCATAAAGTATGGCACCAAAAGGCATTCCCTCGTAAGGCTCATAAAGTATGGCACCACAAGGCATTCCCTCGTAAGGATCATAAAGTATGGCACCACAAGGCATTCCCTCATAAGGCTCATAAAGTATGGCACCACAAGGCATTCCCTCGTAAGGCTCATAAAGTATGGCACCACAAGGCATTCCCTCGTAAGGCTCATAAAGTATGGCACCCCAAGGCATTCCCTCGTAAGGCTCATAAAGTATGGCACCACAAGGCATCCCCTTGTTAGGCTCATAAAGTATGGCACCACAAGGCATTCCCTTGTTAGGCTCATAAAGCATGGCACCACAAGGCATTCTTAGGGCAACCTGTTTGGTTGTTTTTTTTTTGCTGTCTCTGAATGTAACTCAGTTTTGCTTCTATGCTGGTTTTATTTTTTCTCTTATGACTTCACTAATAATTTTAACATAAGGCAAATGATGAAGTCTGTCTCACACATCTCAAGATCAAAAATGAATAAAACTGAAATATGTATCTGTAGCACTGGACCAGACAGGAGACAAGCTCTAGTAAAGCTGCAGGACTACAATGACATATGTATCTGTAGCACTGGACCAGACAGGAGACAAGCTCTAGTAAAGCTGCAGGACTACAATGACATATGTATCTGTAGCACTGGACCAGACAGGAGACAAGCTCTAGTAAAGCTGCAGGACTACAATGACATATGTATCTGTAGCACTGGACCAGACAGGAGACAAGCTCTAGTAAAGCTGCAAGACTACAATGACATATGTATCTGTAGCACTGGACCAGACAGGAGACAAGCTCTAGTAAAGCTGCAAGACTACAATGACATATGTATCTGTAGCACTGGACCAGACAGGAGACAAGCTCTAGTAAAGCTGCAGGACTACAATGACATATGTATCTGTAGCACTGGACCAGACAGGAGACAAGCTCTAGTAAAGCTGCAGGACTACAATGACATATGTATCTGTAGCACTGGACCAGACAGGAGACAAGCTCTAGTAAAGCTGCAAGACTACAATGACATATGTATCTGTAGCACTGGACCAGACAGGAGACAAGCTCTAGTAAAGCTGCAGGACTACAATGACATATGTATCTGTAGCACTGGACCAGACAGGAGACAAGCTCTAGTAAAGCTGCAGGACTACAATGACATATGTATCTGTAGCACTGGACCAGACAGGAGACAAGCTCTAGTAAAGCTGCAGGACTACAATGACATATGTATCTGTAGCACTGGACCAGACAGGAGACAAGCTCTAGTAAAGCTGCAGGACTACAATGACATATGTATCTGTAGCACTGGACCAGACAGGAGACAAGCTCTAGTAAAGCTGCAGGACTACAATGACATATGTATCTGTAGCACTGGACCAGACAGGAGACAAGCTCTAGTAAAGCTGCAGGACTACAATGACATATGTATCTGTAGCACTGGACCAGACAGGAGACAAGCTCTAGTAAAGCTGCAGGACTAAAATGCCATTTAAAAACTGGTTCCCTCTCCACAACAAAAGTTAGCTTTAGTGTATCAACTGCTTTATTTGGGAATATTATATAGTCAGATCCTAATCTCTTCTTCGGTAATCCTGTATGTCTGTCAGAAAACCACATTTTCTTTTTAAATTATCTATTCACCATGAATCATGAAACTGAGAAGCATTTTCACTAAGCTTTAAGCCACAGAGTTGAAAAATGAAAAAAATTTAAACACAGTCTGGGGTTTCTAATGTCTGTTCTCCTCACCTGGTGACTACAATACAAGGGACACAGTCTGGGGTTTCTAACACCTGTTCTTCTCACCTGGTGACTACAATACAAGGTACACAGTCTGGGGTTTCTAACATCAGCTCTCCTCACCTGGTGACTACAATACAAGGGACACAGTCTGTTCTCCTCACCTGGTGACTACAATACAAGGGACACAGTCTGGGGTTTCTAACACCTGTTCTCCTCACCTGGTGACTACAATACAAGGGACACAGTCTGGGGTTTCTAACACCTGTTCTTCTCATCTGGTGACTACAATACAAGGGACACAGTCTGGGGTTTCTAACATCTGTTCTCCTCACCTAGTGACTACAATACAAGGGACACAGTCTGGGGTTTCTAACATCTGTTCTCCTCACCTGGTGACTTCAGTACAGAGGACACAATCTGGGCTCTCCTCACCTGGTGACTACAGTATAAGGGACACAGTCTGTTCTCCTCACCTGGTGACTACAGTTAAAGGAACACAGTCTGGGCTCTCCTCACCTGGTGACTACAATACAAGGAACACAGTCTGGGCTCTCCTCACCTGGTGACTACAGTACAAGGAACACAGTCTGGGTTCTCCTCACCTGGTGACTACAGTACAAGGAACACAGTCTGGGCTCTCCTCACCTGGTGACTACAGTACAAGGGACACAGTCTGGGCTCTCCTCACCTGGTGACTACAGTACAAGGAACACAGTCTGGGCTCTCCTCACCTGGTGACTACAGTACAAGGGACACAGTCTGGGCTCTCCTCACCTGGTGACTACAGTACAAGGGACACAGTCTGGGCTCTCCTCACCTGGTGACTATAGTACAAGGGACACAGTCTGGGCTCTCCTCACCTGGTGACTCCAGTACAAGGAACAGTCTGGGCTCTCCTCACCTGGTGACTACAGTACAAGGGACACAGTCTGGGCTCTCCTCACCTGGTGACTACAGTACAAGGAACACAGTCTGGGCTCTCCTCACCTGGTGACTACAGTACAAGGGACACAGTCTGGGCTCTCCTCACCTGGTGACTATAGTACAAGGGACATAGTCTGGGCTCTCCTCACCTGGTGACTCCAGTACAAGGAACACAGTCTGGGCTCTCCTCACCTGGTGACTACAGTACAAGGGACACAGTCTGGGCTCTCCTCACCTGGTGACAACAGTACAAGGGACACAGTGTGGGCTCTCCTCACCTGGTGACTACAGTACAAGGGACACAGTGTGGGCTCTCCTCACCTGGTGACTACAGTACAAAGGACACAATCTAGGCTCTCCTCACCTGGTGACTACAGTATAAGGGACACAGTCTGTTCTCCTCACCTGGTGACTACAGTATAAGGAACACAGTCTGGGCTCTCCTCACCTGGTGACTACAGTATAAGGGACACAGTCTGTTCTCCTCACCTGGTGACTACAGTATAAGGAACACAGTCTGGGCTCTCCTCACCTGGTGACTACAATACAAGAAACACAGTCTGGGCTCTCCTCACCTGGTGACTACAGTACAAGGAACACAGTCTGTTCTCCTCACCTGGTGACTACACTACAAGGGACACAGTCTGGGGTTTCTAACACCTGTTCTCCTCACCTGGTGACTACACTACAAGGGACACAGTCTGGGGTTTCTAACACCTGTTCTCCTCACCTGGTGACTACAATACAAGGGACACAGTCTGGGGTTTCTAACATCTGTTCTCCTCACCTGGTGACTTCAGTACAGAGGACACAATCTGGGCTCTCCTCACCTGGTGACTACAGTATAAGGGACACAGTCTGTTCTCCTCACCTGGTGACTACAGTTAAAGGAACACAGTCTGGGCTCTCCTCACCTGGTGACTACAATACAAGGAACACAGTCTGGGCTCTCCTCACCTGGTGACTACAGTACAAGGAACACAGTCTGGGTTCTCCTCACCTGGTGACTACAGTACAAGGAACACAGTCTGGGCTCTCCTCACCTGGTGACTACAGTACAAGGGACACAGTCTGGGCTCTCCTCACCTGGTGACTACAGTACAAGGGACACAGTCTGGGCTCTCCTCACCTGGTGACTACAGTACAAGAAACACAGTCTGGGCTCTCCTCACCTGGTGACTACAGTACAAGGGACACAGTCTGGGCTCTCCTCACCTGGTGACTACAGTACAAGGGACACAGTCTGGGCTCTCCTCACCTGGTGACTATAGTACAAGGGACACAGTCTGGGCTCTCCTCACCTGGTGACTCCAGTACAAGGAACACAGTCTGGGCTCTCCTCACCTGGTGACTACAGTACAAGGGACACAGTCTGGGCTCTCCTCACCTGGTGACTACAGTACAAGGAACACAGTCTGGGCTCTCCTCACCTGGTGACTACAGTACAAGGGACACAGTCTGGGCTCTCCTCACCTGGTGACTATAGTACAAGGGACATAGTCTGGGCTCTCCTCACCTGGTGACTCCAGTACAAGGAACACAGTCTGGGCTCTCCTCACCTGGTGACTACAGTACAAGGGACACAGTCTGGGCTCTCCTCACCTGGTGACTACAGTACAAGGGACACAGTGTGGGCTCTCCTCACCTGGTGACTACAGTACAAGGGACACAGTCTGGGCTCTCCTCACCTGGTGACTACAGTACAAGGGACATAGTCTGGGCTCTCCTCACCTGGTGACTACAGTACAAGGGACACAGTCTGGGCTCTCCTCACCTGGTGACTACAGTACAAGGGACATATTCTGGGCTTTCCTCACCTGGTGATACGATTGAGGGCTCCTTCTCCATGTCTGCATATTCTAAAACCCTCTCCACGGCATTCATGCTCATTTCCACCTCAGTGGAGATTCTCACAATCCAGTTCAGCTGGCCAGACACCTGCAGAAGCATACTGCAATTAGACCATACTTAGAGAATACCATCTGGCTCCACAGACATACTGCAATTGTATCATACTTTGAAAATGCCATCTGGCTCCACTGACATACTGCAATTATATCATACTTTGAGAATGCCATCTGGCTCCACTGACATACTGCAATTATATCATACTTTGAGAATGCCATCTGGCTCCACTGACATACTGCGATTATATCATACTTAGAGAATGCCATCTGGCTGCACAGACATACTGCAATTAGACCATACTTAGAGAATGCCATCTGGCTGCACAGACATACTCAATTATACCATACTTAGAGAATGCCATCTGGCTGCACAGACATACTCAATTATACCATACTTCGAGAATGCCATCTGGCTCCACAGACATACTGCAATTAGACCATACTTAGAGAATGCCATCTGGCTGCACAGACATACTGCAATTATACCATACTTAGAGAATGCCATCTGGCTGCACAGACATACTGCAATTAGACCATACTTAGAGAATGCCATCTGGCTGCACAGACATACTCAATTATACCATACTTAGAGAATGCCATCTGGCTGCACAGACAGCTTGCAATTAGACCATACTTAGAGAATACCATCTGGCTGCACAGACATACTGCAATTATACCATACTTAGAGAATGCCATCTGGCTCCACTGACATACTGCGATTATATCAAACTTCGAGAATACCATCTGGCTCCACAGACATACTGCAATAAGACTATACTTCGAGAATGCCATCTGGCTCCACAGACATACTGCAATAAGACTATACTTCGAGAATGCCATCTGGCTCCACAGACATACTGCAATAAGACTATACTTCGAGAATGCCATCTGGCTGCACAGACATACTGCAATTAGACCATACTCAGAGAATGTCATCTGGCTCCACAGACATACTGCAATTGTATCATACTTAGAGAATGCCATCTGGCTGCAAAGACATGAGAAAATTATACCATACTTAGAGAGTGCCATCTTGCTGCAAAGACATCAGAAAATCTATACCATACTTAGAGAATGCCATCTGGCTGCAAAGACATCAGAAAATTATTTCATACTTAGAGAATGCCATCTGGCTGCAAAGACATCAGAAAATTAGACCATACTTAAAGAATACCATCTGGCTGCAAAGACATCAGAAAATTAGACCATACTTAGGGAATGCCATTTGGCTGCAAAGACATCAGAAAATTAGACCATACTAAGAGAATACCATCTGGCTGCAAAGACATCAGAAAATGTTTTCTCAGAATATGAACTGGCTTGACACTTTAAGAAGAAAAAAAACTACAGACACACAAAAACATAATCATTTAACCATCTATCTGAATAGCCTGCCAAGGTTTATATTTTAGCAGTGTGGAAGCACAGATGGATCATTACGGTCTGAAGAGAATGGTGCTGCCAGGTGTGACCAGGGGATCAGGCTGAAGAGAATGGTGCTGCCAGGTGTGACCAGGGGATCAGTCTGAAGAGAATGGTGCTGCCAGGTGTGACCAGGGAATCAGGCTGAAGAGAATGGTGCTGCGAGGTGTGTCCAGGGGATAAGTCTGAAGAGAATGGTGCTGCCAGGTGTGACCAGGGGATCAGTCTGAAGAGAATGGTGCTGCCAGGTGTGACCAGGGGATCAGTCTGAAGAGAATGGTGCTGCGAGGTGTGACCAGGGGATCAGTCTGAAGAGAATGGTGCTGCCAGGTGTGACCAGGGGATCAGGCTGAAGAGAATGGTGCTGTGAGGTGTGACCAGGGGATCAGTCTGAAGAGAATGGTGCTACGAGGTGTGACCAGGGGATCAATCAGTCTGAAGAGAATGGTGCTGCCAGGTGTGACCAGGGGATCAGTCTGAAGAGAATGGTGCTGCGAGTGTGACCAGGGGATCAGTCTGAAGAGAATGGTGCTGCCAGGTGTGACCAGGGGATCAGTCCGAAGAGAATGGTGCTGCCAGGTGTGACCAGGGGATCAGTCTGAAGAGAATGGTGCTGCGCGTGTGACCAGGGGATCAGTCTGAAGAGAATGGTGCTGCCAGGTGTGACCAGGGGATCAGTCTGAAGAGAATGGTGCTGCCAGGTGTGACCAGGGGATCAGTCTGAAGAGAATGGTGCTGCCAGTTGTGTCCAGGGGATCAGTCTGAAGAGAATGGTGCTGCGAGGTGTGTCCAGGGGATCAGTCTGAAGAGAATGGTGCTGCCAGGTGTGACTAGGGGATCAGTCTGAAGAGAATGGTGCTGCCAGGTGTGACCAGGGGATCAGTCTGAAGAGAATGGTGCTGCCAGGTGTGTCCAGGGGATCAGTCTGAAGAGAATGGTGCTGCCAGGTGTGACCAGGAGATCAGTCTGAAGAGAATGGTGCTGCCAGGTGTGACCAGGGGATCAGTCTGAAGAGAATGGTGCTGCCAGGTGTGACCAGGGGATCAGTCTGAAGAGAATGGTGCTGCGAGGTGTGACCAGGGGATCAGTCTGAAGAGAATGGTGCTGCGAGGTGTGACCAGGGGATCAGTCTGAAGAGAATGGTGCTGCCAGGTGTGACCAGGGGATCAGGCTGAAGAGAATGGTGCTGCGAGGTGTGACCAGGGGATCAGTCTGAAGAGAATGGTGCTGCGAGGTGTGACCAGGGGATCAGTCTGAAGAGAATGGTGCTGCCAGGTGTGACCAGGGGATCAGTCTAAAGAGAATGGTGCTGCGAGTGTGACCAGGGGATCAGTCTGAAGAGAATGGAGCTGCCAGGTGTGACCAGGGGATCAGTCTGAAGAGAATGGTGATGCCAGGTGTGACCAGGGGATCAGTCTGAAGAGAATGGTGCTGCGAGGTGTGACCAGGGGATCAGTCTGAAGAGAATGGTGCTGCGAGGTGTGTCCAGGGGATCAGTCTGAAGAGAATGGTGCTGCCAGGTGTGACCAGGGGATCAGTCTGAAGAGAATGGTGCTGCGAGGTGTGTCCAGGGGATCAGGCTGAAGATTAGCACTCAAAATGAGACAGACAGACAATTAGGCTGCTATTGGTACCACTGGAATTGCAACTCTGCGCTTGCCACTGAAGATGGGGGCGGAGCGTGTATGGGAATGTTCTAACTGCTGTGATGTTGATTATTAATTAAACATAATCTATTTTAACAACATATCTATTTTTTTATGTGACAAACAAGAGGATCTTTTGATATGATTTGTATATGTGATACATGTAACAAGACAAGCACTCACTATCAATGTGTATGTGATACATGTAACAAGACAAGCGCTCACTATCAATGTGTATGTGATACATGTAACAAGACAAGCCCTCATTATCAATGTGGATGTTATACATGTGACAAGACAAGCCCTCATTATCAATGTCTATGTGATACATGTAACAAGACAAGCCCTCATTATCAATGTGTATGTGATACATGTAACAAGACAAGCACTCACTATCAATGTCTATGTGATACATGTAACAAGACAAGCACTCACTATCAATGTCTATGTGAGACATGTAACAAGATAAGCACTCACTATCAATGTGGATGTTATACATGTGACAAGACAAGCCCTCATTATCAATGTCTATGTGATACATGTAACAAGACAAGCACTCACTATCAATGTCTATGTGAGACATGTAACAAGACAAGCGCTCACTATCAATGTGTATGTGATACATGTAACAAGACAAGCACTCACCATCAATGGCTGTGTTACATGTAACAAGACAAGCACTCACTATCAATGTGGATGTTATACATGTGACAAGACAAGCACTCACTATCAATGTGTATTTGATACATGTAACAAGACAAGCCCTCACTATCAATGTGTATGTGATACATGTAACAAGACAAGCACTCACTATCAATGTGTATGTGATACATGTAACAAGACAAGCACTCACTATCAATGTGTATGTGATACATGTAACAAGACAAGCCCTCACTATCAATGTGTATGTGATACATGTAACAAGACAAGCACTCACTATCAATGTGTATGTGATACATGTAACAAGACAAGCGCTCACTATCAATGTGTATGTGATACATGTAACAAGACAAGCCCTCATTATCAATGTGGATGTTATACATGTGACAAGACAAGCCCTCATTATCAATGTCTATGTGATACATGTAACAAGACAAGCACTCACTATCAATGTCTATGTGAGACATGTAACAAGACAAGCACTCACTATCAATGTGGATGTTATACATGTGACAAGACAAGCCCTCATTATCAATGTCTATGTGATACATGTAACAAGACAAGCACTCACTATCAATGTCTATGTGATACATGTAACAAGACAAGCACTCACTATCAATGTCTATGTGAGACATGTAACAAGATAAGCACTCACTATCAATGTGGATGTTATACATGTGACAAGACAAGCCCTCATTATCAATGTCTATGTGATACATGTAACAAGACAAGCACTCACTATCAATGTCTATGTGAGACATGTAACAAGACAAGCGCTCACTATCAATGTCTATGTGATACATGTAACAAGACAAGCACTCACTATCAATGTCTATGTGATACATGTAACAAGACAAGCACTCACTATCAATGTCTAAGTGAGACATGTAACAAGACAAGCACTCACTATCAATGTGGATGTTATACATGTGACAAGACAAGCCCTCATTATCAATGTCTATGTGATACATGTAACAAGACAAGCACTCACTATCAATGTGGATGTTATACATGTGACAAGACAAGCCCTCATTATCAATGTGTATGTGATACATGTAACAAGACAAGCACTCACTATCAATGTCTATGTGATACATGTAACAAGACAAGCACTCACTATCAATGTATATGTTATACATGTAACAAGACAAGCCCTCATTATCAATGTCTATGTGATACATGTAACAAGACAAGCACTCACTATCAATGTCTGTGTGATACATGTAACAAAACAAGCACTCACCATCAATGTCTGTGTGATACATGTAACAAGACAGGCACTCACTATCAATGTGGATGTTATACATGTAACAAGACAAGCACTCACTATCAATGTGGATGTTATACATGTAACAAGACAAGCACTCACTATAAATGTGGATGTTATACATGTAACAAGACAAGCACTCACTATCAATGTGGATGTTATACATGTAACAAGACAAGCCCTCATTATCAATGTCTATGTGATACATGTAACAAGACAAGCACTCATCATTAATGTCTATGTGATACATGTAACAAGACAAGCCCTCACCATCAATGGCTGTGTTACATGTAACAAGACAGGCCCTCACTATCAATGTGGATGTTATACATGTAACAAGACAGGCACTCACTATCAATGTGGATGTTATACATGTAACAAGACAAGCACTCACTATCAATGTGGATGTTATACATGTAACAAGACAAGCACTCACTATCAATGTGGATGTTATACATGTAACAAGACAAGCCCTCATTATCAATGTCTATGTGATACATGTAACAAGACAAGCACTCATCATTAATGTCTATGTGATACATGTAACAAGACAAGCACTCACTATCAATGTCTATGTGATACATGTAACAAGACAAGCACTCACCATCAATGTCTATGTGATACATGTAACAAGACAAGCACTCACCATCAATGGCTGTGTTACATGTAACAAGACAAGCACTCACTATCAATGTGGATGTTATACATGTGACAAGACAAGCACTCACTATCAATGTGTATTTGATACATGTAACAAGACAGGCACTCACTATCAATGTGGATGTTATACATGTAACAAGACAAGCACTCACTATCAATGTCTATGTGATACATGTGACAAGACAAGCACTCACTATCAATGTGGATGTTATACATGTGACAAGACAAGCACTCACTATCAATGTGGATGTTATACATGTAACAAGACAAGCACTCACTATCAATGTCTATGTGATACATGTGACAAGACAAGCACTCACCATCAATGTGGATGTTATACATGTGACAAGACAAGCACTCACTATCAATGTGGATGTTTTACATGTGACAAGACAGGCACTCACTATCAATGTGGATGTTATACATGTGACAAGACAAGCACTCACTATCAATGTGTATGTGATACATGTAACAAGACAGGCACTCACCATCAATGGCTGTGTTACATGTAACAAGACAAGCACTCACTATCAATGTGGATGTTATACATGTGACAAGACAAGCACTCACTATCAATGTGTATGTGATACATGTAACAAGACAAGCACTCACCATCAATGGCTGTGTTACATGTGACAAGACAAGCACTCACCATCAATGTGTATGTGATACATGTAACAAGACAAGCACTCACCATCAATGTGTATGTGATACATTAACAAGGCAGGCACTCACCATCAATGTGTATGTGATACATGTAACAAAACAAGCACTCACTATCAACATGTATGTGATACATGAAATGAACACCAGCAGAACAAGACAGGCACTTCTGATAGCATCTAGCTTGTCATGCATCAATTTACCACCAAGTGGTGTAGAACAAGTATGTGTCTCTGCTGTTTCCTTGTCCCAACATACCTGCATGCCCTGGAGTCAATATCCCTAGAATGCTATCTACCCGTGACCACTGAAGCAATGCTTGCTACTTAACGCACTGACAGAATTCTCCTATGGATGTTGACCATAAGGATCATCACTACAAGGTCAGTTCCAGAATGTCACTCTGGGTCCACCGGAAAGCTTCTCTGCTTGCACCCTCTTTCCAGCAATGTGCATGTATAAGGTCCTGATGTCTTTCATGTCTGCCATCCTCCTATATGTCAGCTCTCTATCATGGAATCATACCTTCTATTACTTCTTGTATTAAAGCCATTTTTTTAATTCTAGTTTTTTTTTTTATGGTGACCTAATATTTTATTTTTTTTAATATTTTTTAACATTTCAGTTAAAAACCACTATTTTTATTCTTTAAAAATTGCAAAATAAAACATGGGTGGTGTGGAAAATCAACAGCTTATGGAAAAATGAGAGAGAGAGAGAGAGAGAGAGAGAGAGAGGGGAGAGAGAGAAAGAGGGAGAGAGAGAGAGATGCTTGAAGATGTAGAGAGAGTGAGAAGGACTGACAAAGAGACAGGCATAAACATCTCACTGATCACTGATTATTGATTCAATAATCACATCACATCTCAATGACAAACAAACAATCACATCGACTCACCAAACAAATTCCCAGCCATCTATTGGTCATGTGAATAATTCAATAATCAAATCTCAATGACAAACAAACAAACACATCGACTCACCAAACAAATTTCCAGCCATCGATTGGCCGTGTGAATAATTCAATAATCAAATCTCAATGACAAACAAACAACACTTCCACTCACCAAACGAATTCCCAGCCATCGATTGGCCGTGTGTATGAACAAGAAGGGAGTCACATTACAGTCGACAGCTTTGAAGGCTCGCCGTTTGAAATCTGACTGGACACTGCCAAAAAAAAGCACACGGATAAGGTCATCTCAAGCTGGACACTGCCAGTGTGATGTAAAGTCTTATGGAGTCTGGTTGGTAATGTACTGAAGTGCTGCCAGTGTGGTGTAAAGTCTTATAGAGTCTGGTTGGTAATGTACTGAAGTGCTGCCAGTGTGGTGTAAAGTCTTATAGAGTCTGGTTGTTAATGTACTGAAGTGCTGAAAAGTGTGATGTAAAGTCTTATGGAGTCTGGTTGGTAATGTACTGAATTGCTGCCAGTGTGATGTAAAGTCTTATAGAGTCTGGTTGGTAATGTACTGAATTGCTGCCAGTGTGATGTAAAGTCTTATAGAGTCTGGTTGGTAATGTACTGAAGTGCTGCCAGTGTGATGTAAAGTCTTATGGAGTCTGGTTGTTAATGTACTGAAGTGCTGCCAGTGTGATGTAAAGTCTTATAGAGTCTGGTTGTTAATGTACTGAAGTGCTGCCAGTGTGATGTAAAGTCTTATAGAGTCTGGTTGTTAATGTACTTAAGTGCTGCCAGTGTGATGTAAAGTCTTATAGAGTCTGGTTGTTAATGTACTGAAGTGCTGTCAGTGTGATGTAAAGTCTTATAGAGTCTGGTTGGTAATGTACTGAAGTGCTGCCAGTGTGATGTAAAGTCTTATAGAGTCTGGTTGGTAATGTACTGAAGTGCTGCCAGTGTGATGTAAAGTCTTATGGAGTCTGGTTGGTAATGTACTGAAGTGCTGCCAGTGTGATGTAAAGTCTTATGGAGTCTGGTTGTTAATGTACTGAAGTGCTGCCAGTGTGGTGTAAAGTCTTATAGAGTCTGGTTGGTAATGTACTGAAGTGCTGCCAGTGTGATGTAAAGTCTTATAGAGTCTGGTTGGTAATGTACTGAAGTGCTGCCAGTGTGATGTAAAGTCTTATGGAGTCTGGTTGTTAATGTACTGAAGTGCTGCCAGTGTGATGTAAAGTCTTATAGAGTCTGGTTGGTGATGTACTGAAGTGCTGCCAGTGTGGTGTAAAGTCTTTTGGAGTCTGATTGGTAATGTACTGAAGTGCTGCCAGTGTGATGTAAAGTCTTATGGAGTCTGGTTGTTAATGTACTGAAGTGCTGCCAGTGTGATGTAAAGTCTTATAGAGTCTGGTTGTTAATGTACTGAAGTGCTGCCAGTGTTATGTAAAGTCTTATGGAGTCTGGTTGGTAATGTACTGAAGTGCTGCCAGTGTGAATGTAAAGTCTTATGGAGTCTGATTGGTGATGTACTGAAGTGCTGCCAGTGTGATGTAAAGTCTTATAGAGTCTGGTTGGCAATGTACTGAATTGCATTTGTTGTTGATTTAACTGTAGCCACTTTATTATTATGCGTCCGTGGCTAAGGCGTTGCGAATCCAACTCGTAAGCCAGCATACCGCGATCGAAACCCACTGCAGGCTGCGTGGATTTTTATCGTGGTATGGGACGTCGCAGGTCGACCCAGCCTAAAATGGGTACCAGGATGGGCTGTCCTGGGAAAGTAAAGACAGCCGGCGTAATGCTGACCACATTACCCACAGAGTGCTGATGGTCTGTAAAAAATATGGGATGCTCTGCCCATATGCCCGATGCGCCGAAAGGCGTGAAAAGGGAACTTTACTTTTTTTTTTAACTTTATTATTATCATTTTTGTGTTGCTGTTTTTCCACATTATATATATCATGATATGTTATTACATTTCCTGGCACTCAGCCAGTGATGTAGTCAACACATCTCACCAAATTTTCTAGCATTCAGACAGTGATGTAGTCAATACATCTCACCACATTTCCTGGCACAGTGATGTAGTCAATAAATCTCACCACATTTCCTGGCACTCAGCCAGTGATGTAGTCAACTCATCTCACCAAATTTTCTAGCATTCAGACAGTGATGTAGTCAATACATCTCAGCACATTTCCTGGCACTCAGCCAGTGATGTAGTCAATACATCTCACCAAATTTTCTAGCATTCAGACAGTGATGTAGTCAATACATCTCAGCACATTTCCTGGCACTCAGCCAGTGATGTAGTTAATACATCTCCTGGCACTCAGCCAGTGATGTAGTTAATATATCTCCTGGCACTCAGCCAGTGATGTAGTCAATACATCAAAGGAGCATGGAAATTGATTCAAACAGAAGATTATTAGTCAGAGAGGCATGCCAGTTCACTACTGTGCTACTGCACTTCTAATAAACACAGATGACCTCATCGATACAAGACAACAAGGGAAGGTGTGGGTTTGTCAAACACATTGCTTACCCATATGCTCGAATGACGGGCAGTCCGCTGAGTGTTTCCATCGTATGTGAAAATATCGGAGACTTTGTGACGCTGTCTAACCTCTGAAGTTCTCTGAAACAATGAAAGTTTATACTGAATCTGACACTGGACAACTCTGACAATGAAAGTTGATACTGAACCTGAAACAGGACATCTCTGAAATACTCTCTGAAACAATGAAAGTTGATACTGAACCTGAAACTGGACAACTCTGACATACTCTCTGAAACAATTAAAGTTTATACTGAATCTGAAACTGGACAACTTTGACATACTCACTGAAACAATGAAAGTTGATACTGAATCTGACACTGGACAACTTTGACAATGAAAGTTGATACTAAACCTGAAACAGGACAACTCTGAAATACTCTCTGAAAAAATGAAAGTTGATACTGAACCTGAAACTGGACAACTCTGACATACTCTCTGAAACAATTAAAGTTTATACTGAATCTGAAACTGGTCAACTTTGACATACTCTCTGAAACAATGAAAGTTGATACTGAATCTGAAACTGGTCAACTTTGACATACTCTCTGAAACAATTAAAGTTGATACTGAACCTGAAACTGGACAACTCTGACATACTCTCTAAAACAATTAAAGCTGATACTGAATCTGAAACTGGATAACTCTGACATACTCTCTGAAACAATTAAAGTTGATACTGAACCTGAAACTGGATAACTCTGAAATACTCTCTGAAACAATTAAAGTAGATACTAAATCTGAAACTGGACAACTTTGACATACTCTCTGAAACAATTAAAGTAGATACTGAACCTGAAACTGGACAACTCTGACATACTCTCTGAAACAATTAAAGTAGATACTAAACATGAAACTGGATAACTCTGACATACTCTCTGAAACAATTAAAGTTGATACTGAATCTGAAACTGGTCAACTTTGACATACTCTCTGAAACAATGAAAGTTGATACTGAACCTGAAACTGGACAACTCTGACATACTCTCTAAAACAATTAAAGCTGATACTGAATCTGAAACTGGATAACTCTGACATACTCTCTGAAACAATTAAAGTTGATACTGAACCTGAAACTGGACAACTCTGACATACTCTCTCAAACAATTAAAGTTGATACTGAACCGTGTGTGCCTGCGTGTGTACTACATACATACGTACATACATACTTACATACATACATACATACATACATACATACATACATACATACATACATACATACATACATACATACATACATACATACATACATACAGGCATACATACATACATACATACATACATACATACATACATACATACATACATACATACATACATACATACATACATACATACATACATACATACATACATACATACATACATACATACATACATACATACATACATACATACATACATACATACATACATACATACATACATACATACATACATACATACATACATACATACATACAGGCATACAGGCAGACAGACAGACAGACAGACAGACAGACAGACAGACAGACAGACAGACAGACAGACAGACAGACAGACAGACAGACAGACAGACAGACAGACAGACAGACAGACAGACAGACAGACAGACAGACAGACATGCATGCATACATGCATATTTACATATAAATACACACATACATACATACATACAAACATACAGGCATACATACAGTCGTGCATGGAGACACATACATGCAAACATGGACACTCCCACAGACAAACACACTGACACATACACCCACAGAGACACACACACACATGTAGACAAAAATACAGACACTACATATAACACACACAGGGAAACACACAGCAGACATATACATTCGTGCTCACACACACACATACATACGCAGACAAACATGCAGACACATACATACAGCCACATAGACACACACGCAGTCAAACACACATACAAAAATACAGACAAACATGCAGACACATACATACAGCCACATAGACACACACGCAGTCAAACACACATACAAAAATACAGACAAACAGGTAGACAAACACATACTGACACCCACATAGACAAACACGCAGAAATGCATACACAGACAAACACACACTCAGACAAACACATAGAAATACACACGCAGACACAAAATATACAGCCTGACACTATGGGTTAGAAAATGTGAAGTAGTGGGTAATTCTCTTCAAAACTGTGAATAGTACTTGTAAAAAACACATACAAGCATTTTTAAAGACAGTGAGGATAGGCTTGTCACATTTACATGATATGTTAAACAATGTAAAATATAAATGGAGGGGAGAGAGGGAGGTAAAAATAGGAAACAGTAAAAATATTTAACAAAAAGTAAATATACAAGAAAACAAAACCGAACATGAAAGAAACAAACCCATGTACATTTTTGTTTAACAAGACTGAACTGAATGATAACAATCAAGCACACAACTCTCAAATACATCCACAGGTGGAATGACACAACAGTATGTTCACTAGACAAATGCAGGGGAACTATCAGCATATTCTCAGCATCACTGTTACCCTGAACTTATTCAGTAAGATGGGATTGCCAGACTGTAACAGCTTGATGCTTGCCTGTAAACCCTAAGGTCATGCATTCAAATCCAGAGGGATTGAACCAGGTTTAAATGAGTAACAGGTACTGTTGACCACATGGTTCATTAAGTGAGGACTGGCCTATAAAACACAGGTCTACCACAATATGCCCAATATGCCTCAGGGCTTCTTCTCCTAATTCAAAAGAATAAATATTATAAGACAAGGAACAAACTGGCAAAGGATAAGCAGTATCTGACACATGATGATAGTGGTAGTGGTAGCATCAGCATGCCACTTTTCATGTGACAGCTGCTGCCTGGGACAACCCTGACTGGGTGACTCCCATACTTCACCCAACCCAAGTGACCCAAGTTGTATTATGTGTGGGTTCTGAAGCCACATTTGTGAGGTGGGTGAGAATATACCCACTGCCTGTCGAAAAAAAGTGACTAATTTGGGATTTTCCCTCTAAAGTAAGAAGACATATGTCTAAGTGGTAATGAACTAACAGTCTGCACACAAGTAAGACACATCTGTAAAACTAATGTGCATGCAAAGTTCTAGAACAAGACTGAAGACTAGAAATGAACACACAACCAGAACTTTGCCTGGAGTTTACAGAAGAAGAAACTCTATATGAACATATTTTTAAAGTTTCAACTCTCACCCTTTATTTGTTTATTCTGACAAACAACTTGGCTGAGAAGAGGGACAACAATGAAACTATAAACATAAATGAAAACAAATGAGGTCACAAAGCTTACCTGGCTGTAGCTCGGAAAAACCGCTGTAAGAAGTAGTAGAGAATAAAGAAGGGCACAGCGGCAAACAGGAAATACGGTGTTGTGACGGAATTGACTAGAACAGCCGATATTGTGAATAGGGTACACCTCAAGAGGTTCTCCACATGGCCACCCAGGCGCTGAAATGTTCACATGGGTGTATGTGTTAGGTACAACCTTCACAGTTATGATTTTGTAAATATGTTAGGTTCAACCTTCATTATTCTGATTAGGTAAATGTGCTAGATACAATCTTCAATATTCTGTTTCTGTAAATACATCAGGTACAACCTTCACTATTCTATTTCTCAGTTCTAACCTTCACTGTTCTGTTTCTCAGTTCTAACCTTCACTGTTCTGTTTCTCAGTTCTAACCTTCACTGTTCTGTTTCTCAGTTCTAACCTTCACTGTTCTGTTTCTCAGTTCTATTAGAATTTCATGCTGTAGTTAAGAGACTGACAGTCAAGTCTTGGTCAGATATGACAATGTTTCAGCACTCAATACAACCTGTACACTGTTAACACTGAACGTTGTCCAGCACTTATCAAACATGATAGACTACATGTGCCAAACACTTCAGCAAGAGGAACACATTGGGCAGCATACAAGCCTTAGCCTCAAATGTAGAAATGCACCCTCAAAAACTCCATGTTATAGCAGAACAGACCAGAAGCTTAGTCTTGTCTGGCAGCTGTTCTAGAAGGGAAGCTTAGAAAGATAGACAATTAGAGCACATCTCTTCTGATCTGGCAGCTTCTGCAGCGTGCCTTGATCCTCAACCTACTGGTTTAGAGAGAACAAGACAGGCAGAGAGAGGGATCATGCTGCATGGGCAACATATAGTCTTTACAAAACTGCAAAAGCCTCATGTGATGGGAGGAGAAACTACATCCCTGGTCTTAACTGGTATCACCATAGGCTGTGATTTCCATGTCTTCCAGTAGCACCATGGAACACTATCACCTGGAAAGAGAGAATGGTGCAACAAGAAACAACAAGATAACAAGCAGAGAACTCAAGAAACATTTCATGGAAGTGGACATGTGGCTTCTGAGGAACCTGCAAATAATACCAAAAGACGGGCCCAAAACTGAATGATGAACTTGTTCCAACAACTGAAGAAAACTGTGCACTGGTTACAGAGAAATTAGAATGGAACAATCCAGACTTTTGGGACATACTGAAAAAACTGTTTTCAATCTACACTTTATGGGTACATAAAAAAACAACCGTTGATAACAAAGTTCACAGCAACAGTTACAGCAGCAAAAGACTCTTGTTCATACTTTGACGGGACATGCAGTAAAATATTAAATGTGTAAAATCACGCGGCAATGCATAGCTTGTTGTACTGAAATGAGAATAACAATGCTTATAACAGACTAGCTGTAAAGTGTGTTAAATTCTTGACTGAATTTCTTAAAGGTCTGAATCATCTGATGAACCGCTATCTCCTCAGTCACGGGTCTTCCCAGCCATCACAAATTTCTCCAACTCCTTTTTTTTTTCCAAATGTAACAGGGAGACGGCATCACTTGTCTGTCAGGAGTAAGGATGCTGCGCATAATTAGAATAATCAACAAGTCTTGGCAACCTTGACATTCCTTTCTAGAACCATCATTTGTTTATTAGCAGAGATATTTGCAAATGAATAATATTGTTATCTATATAGCATCTGATGTAATTTTGTGAAGTGCCCTATCAAAGAGATCAAGAACACAAAGCGATCTCGAGAGTATGTAACCATAGAGGAAAGCATCAGCCATTCAGAATATTATTGATGTTATTTGTGCCATTACTGAAATATCACAATAAAAACAGTTCAGAAAAGAAAAGTTTTTTCCAGACGTTTTATTATGGTAGCATCAGAGTGAGGTGAGAAGCATGCAGCAAGCAAGACTTCATCATCATCACCACTATCGACACAACCATCTTTCTCCCCGTCTATTCTCTTCCAATTGACTCCTTCTGTAGCAAACTAAAAGTGAACCTGGGTGTGACATCAACATACGCAAAGAAGACAGCTGTGCTACACCAACACACACACACCTACAGAAGACTGGATTTTCCTGACAGATATGTCCAAGGTTATGCATGTTTGAGCTGTCAATGACTATGGCTGCTAATTGATCTCAGAGACTACATCACTGTCTCTAAGTTCACATCACTGTCTCCAAGTTAACATCACTGTCTCCAAAGTGCACATCACTGTCTCCAAAGTGCACATCACTGTCTCCAAGTGCACATCACTGTCTCCAAGTGCACATCACTGTCTCCAAGTGCACATCACTGTCTCCAAGTGCACATCACTGTCTCCAAGTTGACATCACTGTCTCCAAGTGCACATCACTGTCTCCAAGTGCACATCACTGTCTCCAAGTGCACATCACTGTCTCCAAGTTGACATCACTGTCTCCAAGTTCACATCACTGTCTCCAAGTTCACATCACTGTCTCTAAGTTCACATTACTGTCTCCAAGTTGACATCACTGTCTCCAAGTTCACATTACTGTCTCCAAGTGCACATCACTGTCTCCAAGTGCACATCACTGTCTCCAAGTTGACATTACTGTATCCAAGTTGACATTACTGTCTCAAGTTGACATCACTTTCTCCAAGTTGACATCACTGTCTCCAAGTTGACATCACTGTCTCCAAGTTGACATCACTGACTCTAAGTTGACATCACTGTCTCCAAGTTGACATCACTGTCTCCAAGTTGACATTACTGTCTCCAAGTTGACATCACTGTCTCCAAGTTGACATTACTGTCTCCAAGTTGACATCACTGTCTCCAAGTTTGCATCACTGTCTCCAAGTTGACATTCCATGACTCACTGCTAAACAATACAACAGCTAAAAGACAAGTGTAATCAGAAATGGACAAACGTAGCATCAGTGGATCCCAAGCATCAGCAACTCAACACAGCAGACAATCACATACAGATACTGTCCAGGATATGCACGAATGCCAGACAATGAAAGTGTTGATTTTCTGGCTAAAACAGCCATTACTAGGGAACACTCAAACTGGACAAGGGAGACATTCTCAAGACTATTTATTTATGAAGGAATGTTTCTAGAAGACATAAGGTTCATTCATTCAGTAGCATGTCCCTCGCGGAACCTCGCTGCCATAACAACCCTCCGGAAAACCTTCCTATCCTGAGCAAGATGTCCTGCGTCTGATACACCCATCTGGAGATCATCTGCCACATCCTGCACCCATCTTCTCCTTGGCCTTCCTCTTCCTCTCTTCCCAGGCATATACCCCTCCATTATTGTTCTCTCTAGACTTCCATGACGTTTCAAGTGACCAAAATATTTCAATTTTCTTTGTTTTATTGTCTTTACTAGCCAACCCTCTTCAATATTCAGCTTTTGAAGTATGGATGCATTTGTTCTTTTCTTTACCCAAGATATTCTTAGAACCTGTCTGTAACATTTATATTCAAATGCATTTATGCGCTGTTCCGCTTGTTTAGTAAGTGTCCAGGTCTCACAGGCGTATGTTGCAATGGGAAAGATGCATGCTCTTAAAAATCTGACCTTTGTAATTCTATCTGTACAATTCCATAATTTATTCAGTTGTTTTAGTCTTTGAAGAGCAATTGATAGTCGCCGTTTAATTTCTTTCATTGTGTCACCATTGACATGAGGTTAGATGAAATAAAATGTGTAAGAATGTGTGAACAAGGAATCAGGTGTGGATTTGGTAAGGATGGACGTATGAGTCGTGGAGAACAACTTGTGTACAATTAATGTGGTATTGGAACAGTTAGCATCTTCACATTAAGACATTTTCTGTAGGAGACGGAGCATCTATGGCTGTGCCCGGTGTGCAATGATGTCAATTCTGAAATCACTCATCAGTAATTATAAATATACCTGGTCAATGGCCACTATATCAGCAGAAAAGCGGTTCAGTATTCTTCCACTGGGGTTAGTGTCAAAGAATCTGCAGGAAGAGAATTCATCTCAAAATCAGGCAGGCTGGCAACCAGTCTCTAAAGTTTCAACAAATATGAGCTATTATGTTGAGATGAATCTACTCACCTGTTGATGTGATTAGGGCCGGATGTTTTGTGCTGGTCTCTTTCTGCCTCAAGCAACTCACCATAAATTTGTCAAGTTTTTGTTTACACATTTTAATTACTGTAACTCCTAAAGCCCCTGCCGGTTGTTACACTAATGTATGTATGGTTACTTTAACCCTTTCTGTCACATAACGTTTATGTTTTAATTACTTCGGGTAGAAATATTAATAAGTTAGCAATTTCTTACAACATGATGCGTTGGGAAAAAAAATCCTTGAGACTGAAGGAGTCAAATGCCCACAGCAGGTTGCTATTTCCTGTGTGGTGAGGGCAGTGCCCTCACTCTCTGGACTGTCCAAGCCATTGTGCCTACAGAGCAGGGAGGGCCAATCTTTGTGGGATTGATATGCTGGTAATCTCTGCCCCAGAGACTTCCTCTGCCTAGCATAGCTACAGTGGTTCATCACTATCATCATCGGACTTTTAACCAGAATGTGACCGGTACCATCAGTACTCGAACTCTGCGCTGGCTGCTGAAGATGAGGACAGAGCATGCAAGGGAATGCACTGAGTGCTGTGATGTCAATTCTTGACTCAACTCAACTCAACTATCATCATCACACTATGCCATGCCAGTAAGCGAAGGCTGTCATGTCTCGCCATCTCACACGATCACCAGAATCATGGATCAGTTAAATGTTTTTGTCTCGCCCAGTCCATCTTTTCAGGCCACTCAGGTGTTTTATCTCTTTGCCTTCCTTTTGCTATCTTCCATCAATCTTGCCAGTTGTCACAAAGTTTTCAAGCCTATGTCCTCTCATATTATGTCTAAACAACATTGACTCTCTATGTTTAATTATTCTAATAAGTATATGAGTTTCATCTGTATCAACGAGAAATGCTTCATTTATTTGTCCATCCGTCCATAATACTCCTTGCATTCTTCTAAGAGACCACATTTCTGCCATGAGTCAATGATCCTCAGATTGCTTATTGTCAATGTTTCACATGTACATAATAATAACACAGGTTGTGAAATCAAGATAAATTTTGGCAGCTTGAAGAAGGTAATTTGCCACTGCTTTAATTCTCAAACCTGTTGCTCACCACTTTTACTAATCACCTGTCTACCATGACTCCAAGGTCTGATCTCCTGTCTACTGTGACTCCAAGGTCTGATCTCCTGTCTACTGTGACTTCAAGGTCTGATCTCCTGTCTACTGTGATTCCAAGGTCTGATATCCTGTCTACTGTGACTCCAAGGTCTGATCTCCTGTCTACTGTGACTTCAATGTCTGATCACCTGTCTACTGTGACTCCAAGGTCTGATCACTTGTCTACTGTGACTCCAAGGTCTGATCTCCTGTCTACTGTGACTTCAAGGTCTGATCTCCTGTCTACTGTGACTCCAATGTCTGATCACCTGTCTACTGTGACTCCAAGGTCTGATCACCTGTCTACTGTGACTCCAAGGTCTGATCTCCCTGTCTACTGTGACTCCAAGGTATGATCACCTGTCTACTGTGACTCCAAGGTCTGATCTCCTGTCTACTGTGACTCCAAGGTCTGATCTCCTGTCTAGTGTGACTTCAAGGTCTGATCACCTGTCTACTGTGACTTCAAGGTCTGATCACCTGTCTACTGTGACTCCAAGGTCTGATCTCCTGTCTACTGTGACTCTAAGGTCTGATCTCCTGTCTACTGTGACTCCAAGGTCTGATCACCTGTCTACTGTGACTCCAAGGTCTGATCACCTGTCTACTGTGACTCCAAGGTCTGATCACCTGTCTACTGTGACTTCAAGGTCTGATCACCTGTCTACTGTGACTCCAAGGTCTGATCACCTGTCTACTGTGACTCCAAGGTCTGATCACCTGTCTACTGTGACTTCAAGGTCTGATCTCCTGTCTACTGTGACTTCAAGGTCTGATCACCTGTCTACTTTGACTCTAAGGTCTGATCTACTATGACTTCAAGGCCTAATGACATCTAACCCTGAAAAGAAGGCTGATCATTTTGATTGGAAGGCTAAAGGAGTACACAACTCCTAGTGATGAGGTTTCCTGCAGGCTAGTGGAGGGAAGGAAGCCCCATATCTCCTATTGGCAGAGTTTACCCTACCTTACTATTCTCCCAAGACAATGGACAGACTGCAGAAGACAGGCAGGGGGAGACCTCAAGCGAGGATGTTAGGCAGTTAAGTATCATGGAACAGAGCAGAGGTCCATAAAGTGGCCCGTGGATCACTGCCAGTTCTTTTATTAATGATCATTACGTGCTAGGGCTCCAGCCTCTGGCCAGTGACACTCCCTATGTTTAAATGGTTGGCCCTTGAGTAAACTTAGTTAACTAGCCCTGGCATAGAAGAAAATGTGAATCAGAAGTGACTGCCAGTTCAGGAGACAGGTTATAAATGAAGAGAGTTGATAAAATGATCCATTACCCTTTAAGTCATCCACTTTTGAGATACCATTTTTCATTATTTTGAAGCCCCACCCTGGCTTTTGCCGGGGGCCCTAACATAACCTAACGACTAAATGAGGTTTCCAATACCTCTCCAATAGTGATCCACATCTACCTGGTGCCACTTTGTGTCACTGGGTGTTTATCACTCTGTGTGATGTCTTGTGGGGTCAAATTTACTTACTTATAAAATGATCTGTCTCATGTATAAATGTACACTCTCTTTGTCATTATGTAGCAGGTCCTGTACAGCCCCAGCTGAAAGAAGGTCTGTCCCTCACCAACTCTCCTGCCTCATGCATTTTCCTAGCCAATGTGTCTCTCAAGTCCTGCACCCACCTGTGTACTGGTCAACCCCTGCCTCTCTTACCATGTCTACAACACTAATCTTTGCGAGCCATTTTAATATTTACATGGCCAAAGTATTTCACTTTCCAAGAAAAGATGCCGACCACAGAAATATACGTGTGCTAATGAAGAAATGTGATTGATTCAATAGTTTACCTCATAGGTAAATGTATGACAGAAACTAGCATGTTGACGAAGAGGTTCTTGGAGCCAACAAATCCCATGTAGTAGATGACCAGGCATCCAACGAAGGTGGCCAGCACAGCGCCCAGGGACAGGTAGATGTAGGTCATCAGGTATGGAGTATTGTCAAACTGCAGCTAGCAGATGAAAGGTACTTATCAAAACATAGTGTTACCACATATCATTATCAAGCAATCTCAGTATACAATACATCTATACAGTCTTAAATACTAATTTTTTTACAGAACCCTTCTCTTCTTCTTCTTCTTGCAGCTCACCCCCTGTAAACTAAGGCAGAAATTTTTGGTTGTTTGTCTGCTTCTGGATTTTTGTCTTCTTTCTCTCTTGTGCATTTACTGGCTATAAACTCTTGCAAGAGGTTCTTCTGGTTGTTCATCCACTCCTGCACTTTGATCTTGTTCTTATTCTTCTTCGCATTCACCTGCTGCAAAATTACCGCAGAATGTTCCAGTTTTTCGTCCATTTCTAGACTTTGGTCATCCATTTGACAGACCTGCTTATTGGTATGCAGGCTGTGGTTCCTGGCCTCTCAGCCAGATGCACTGCAACAAAGGAGACCTAATTAGTTGCCTTTGACCACATGTTTGATAGGGGCCCTGAAACCTACAAAAGAAAACAAGCCAACAAAGGTCTTGGCCTCAATTGGTTGACAGCCTTTGCTCCACTAAGAGAAGAAAGGCAAAAGAAGACACACTGATGAAGCTAGGTCAACTATAGACCCATAGGAGTGAAGAACAAAGAAGTAAGTTTAGTGTGAGACCAGCCACTTAAGGTAGTAGAAAACTTCAGCTGCAAAACTGCAAACAATGCTGAACAGGTCAACACAGACCTGACATGGGTTGACTGAGATCTTAACTTCATCTGGAGATGAAAGACAGAAAAAGAAGAGAAAAGGAACATTTTTTAACAACACATGAATTTTGTTATATTGCTGAGGTACCTTAACTATCTGACCTTGATCATGCTAATCACAGATGAATGACTGAAAACACAATGTTGACAAACAGGAGAACTTACCTCTAGAGTTATATTGCCATAAGTAGATGCCAGTAAGGACATGTTCCTTTCATAAATGTTGGAGTCACTGGCCCATAGAGACAGCCAAATGTTGGAGGTGACAATCAGAGAATGGTACACAATCTGTAGTGGACAACAATCAAACTGACAATCAGAGAATGGTACACACTCTGTAGTGGACAACAATCAAACTGACAATCAGAGAATGGTACACACTCTGTAGTGGACAACAATCAAACTGACAATCAGAGAATGGTACACAATCTGTAGTGGACAACAACCTAACTGGCAATCAGAGAATGGTACACAATCTGTAGTAGACAACAATGAAACTGACAATCAGAGAATGGTACACACTCTGTAGTAGACAACAATCAAACTGACAATCAGAGAATGGTACACACTCTGTAGTGGACAACAATCAAACTGACAATCAGAGAATGGTACACACTCTGTAGTAGACAACAATCAAACTGACAATCAGAGAATGGTACACACTCTGTAGTGGACAACAATCAAACTGACAATCAGAGAATGGTACACACTCTTTAGTGGACAACAATCAAACTGACAATCAGAGAATGGTACACACTCTTTAGTGGACAGCAATCAAACTGACAATCAGAGAATGGTACACTCTGTAGTGGACAACAATGAAACTGACAATCAGAGAATGGTACACAATCTGTAGTAGACAACAACCTAACTGGCAATCAGAGAATGGTACACAATCTGTAGTGGACAACAACCTAACTGGCAATCAGAGAATGGTACACAATCTCTAGTGGACAACTATCAAACTGGCAATCAGAGAATGGTACACAATCTGTAGTGGACAACAACCTAACTGGCAATCAGAGAATGGTACACAATCTGTAGTGGACAACAATCAAACTGACAATCAGAGAATGGTACACAATCTGTAGTGGACAACAATCAAACTGACAATCAGAGAATGGTACACAATCTGTAGTGGACAACAACCTAACTGGCAATCAGAGAATGGTACACAATCTGTAGTAGACAACAATCAAACTGACAATCAGAGAATGGTACACAATCTGTAGTAGACAACAAACAAACTGACAATCAGAGAATGGTACACAATCTGTAGTAGACAACAATCAAACAGACAATCAGAGAATGGTACACAATCTGTAGTGGACAACAATCAAACTGGCAATCAGAGAATGGTACACAATCTGTAGTGGACAACAATCAAACTGACAATCAGAGAATGGTACACAATCTGTAGTAGACAACAATCAAACTGGCAATCAGAGAATAGTACACAATCTGTAGTGGACAACAACCTAACTGGCAATCACCTCTGCAGACAATCATGATGCAAACACTGCCAACATTAGGGGCAGGATGCTGTTTATGAGCCAATTCTCTTTACTGTCCAGATGATGCAGGATGTCAAGTGTTTTTCTTCCTCTTGCTTCATGGTATTCTAAGAATCTGTCTGTAGCATTTTACTTCAAAAGTTCCAATTGTTTTTTAGTTTTTTGTTTATACAAAGATGCAGAATCAGCAATGACGAGTAAAGAAGTTGTTGCAAAACAAATATTAATCTTCATCAAGACACAACAGATCCAATGGTTTGGACACGTGTCAAAACTACCACAACAAGCTAGCATGACTGTGAAACCAAGCAGTTACGCTTAGTGAAGCATATCTATGTTGTCTTCAAGGTAAAGAGAGAAGATACTATTAAGATACTATAAAGATACTATAACCAACTCCCCATGGGAACAATCAGCAGAGGAACTAGAGGTAAATCTAGTAATCTGGAACTAAAGGTGGCTCCTGCATCAGAGACCTCAGCAGGCATGGGGATACCTAATGTGCAAAGATGTCGATTGTGATAACATATAGCCAGACACTGCGTCACAGACAGCCCTATCACTGCAACACAATGGAAGCAGACTAGAGGTCGACCATGCAAACGATGGATAGATGGAACAGCAGGCCATAAATACAAGCATCTACGTAGCACATAGCAAGGCTCTGGCCCGATGCTTCTTCAAAACCTGAAGCTGAAAGACAGAACAGGACTAGAGAAGAAGAGTCTTTGGTAATAAACAAATGCACTCTAAAAGTGTAGCCTGATTTGATATTATAAATAACTCTCTTTCGCCACCTGGCCACTCCCATCTTCTAATCACCACAAACTTACCTGTAAAAACAAGGACAGCAAGCACAAACTGATAGAGCAGGATTGAAGGTATCGGAGATAGACCATCACTTTCACAGCTCCGGTTTCTCGGAACTCCTGTTTAATTAACTTGCCTTTCTCTTCAGGAAGTCTGTCAGCTGTTGTGTAAAATGTCAAAGAGCAATTAGAATGTGATGCAGCACAAACCAACTGTAAACAACAAGAGTCAATGTCTTATCTTATTCAGGCCTATTGGCATTACATTCCTTGTGTGGGTTCTGTCACCTCAATCTGTGTGTGTGTGTGTGTGTGGGGAGGGGGGGGTGGGGGAGACCCTCTGCTCCTGTCCCAATGTGTGTGTGTGGGGGGGGGGGGGGGGGGTAGACTTTCTGCTACTGACAGTAAACTCTTACCTGCAGACGCTTTAACTTCCCCGTCAGCGTCAGCAAGCATGCTGTCCTCACCAGCATCCTCGTTGCTGGCCTCAGTCATCACAGACATGGCTGACATCTTCCTGCCTCCCTGGAGGCCCCCGGGAAGCCCAGGCACGCTCAGCTGAGACTGCAGGACACAAATAAGAATACTGTAAATGGGCGACAGACAAGGATCTGAGACTGCAGGACACAAACAAGAACACTGTGAATGGGCGACAGACAAGGACCTGAGACTGCAGGACACAAACAAGAACACTGTGAATGGGCGGCAGACAAGGATCTGAGACTGCACGACACAAACAAGAACACTGTGAATGAGCGGCAGACAAGGAGCTGAGACTGCAGGACACAAACAAGAACACTGTCAATGGGCTACAGACAAGGATCTGAGACTGCAGGACACAAACAAGAACACTGTGAATGGGCTACAGACAAGGAGCTGAGACTGCAGGACACAAACAAGAACACTATGAATGGGCGACAGACAAGGAGCTGAGAACCATGGTAGCTACAGTAAACTGTTGAAGATAATGCTCTATGGCTAGCTGATAATATTATAGGCCCACTGGCATTTGATGCCCTATTTGTTTAATATACCCGACTGTCTTTACTTTACAAAACATTTCCTGGTACCATTAAGTGCTCATTTTAGGATGAGCTGTCTTTAAAGCCTAGATCAATTTTAGGATGAGTTGTCCTGGAAGCCTAGATCAATTTTAGGATGAGTTGTCCTGGGAGCCTAGATCAATTTTAGGATGAGTTGTCCAGGAAGCCTAGATCAATATGTGTAATATGTTACAATGGGGACGAAACTGATGACCACTACGCAGCAAGCAATTATACACAGCTTGTCAACAGTAAATGTGTTGTCAGATTTTTGTCAGAGTTTTTTTGTATAACACACAGTTTTGCTGCATGAAACTGTGTAGGTTAAAAGTATAACACGATATCCAAACGTATTTCTGTTTAAAACTATAATAATTCCCCACAAATATTTCAAAACATGTCGAGTCTATCCCATAATATCCAAAACCAAGTAAGCAGCAAACCCAACAATATGTTAAACGGAGTAAGTCTTCTTCTTGACTTTCTCTCTGACCACTTTGGGTGTTGAGGTTCTGTTTCCTGATCTTCTGGCCACCTCAACCACACACATCATAAGTCTACCATACAATATCCATATTTTAAACAAAACTGTAAAGCATAATGCAAGTCTCCAGCAACCTATCTTTTAACACACACACACAAATCATTTTCTCTAACAAATCAGATTAATATATAACTGAAAAACAAAGAAATAAAACTTTAAAATGATCTAAACAAAATAGAAACATTAATATCAACAGAAACTGTCAAACTGGGGTTGTATGTTTCAAATCCCTAAAAGAAGGGAAACATACTTGCCCCGAGTTACCTCTGAAGTACAAGGTGTTCATGTTGCCTGGATTCAGAACATGAGAGAATGACAACCAATTATTGATGTTATTTATTTGATGACCATGATATGCAGCTATGGGAAAGAAAGTGTGTGAGGAGAAACACAGTAACAATAGAACATGATGGTGTATAACCAGATCATTGGTGAAGAACTGGAGGTCAACCAGAGAAATGATGATGGATGGATGGAGATTGTGTCACAGAGGAATGTCTATCAGACTGGCCAATGAAGACAGATGTAAACAGAAAACCTGAAGTAAGGTGTACTAAAGATAATCTGGTGTAAGATGTAATAGAGATAATCTGATGTGAGATATAATGGAGATAATCTGATTTCAGATGTAATAAAGATAATCTGATGTAAAATGTAATAAATACAATCTGGTGTAAGATGTAACAGAGATAATCTGAAGTAAGATGTAACAGAGATAATCTGAGTAAGATGTAATAAAGATAATCTGATATAAGATGTAATAGAGACTGTCCTATGTAAGATGAAATAAAGATTGCTGTAAGATGTTATAAAAATAGTCTGATATAAGATGTAATGGAGATAATCTGATTTCAGATGTAATAAAGATAGTATGCTGTAAGATGTAATAAAGATAGTATGCTATAAGATGTAATAAAGATAGATTATAAGATGTAATAAAAATAATCTGATGTAAGATGTAATAGAGATCATGTGATGTAAGATGTAATAAAGATAATTCAATGTAAGATGTAATAAAGACAGTCTGATGTAAGAGGTAACAAAGACTGATGTAAGATGTAAACAGACAGCCTGATGTAAACAGAAAACCTGATGTAAGATGTAAAAAAAAAGATAATAAGGCAGCTATCAGATGTGCCAATATTAACTGTCCCACACCAGAATTGTGGCTCACCGTTAGCAAAAACAGTAAAATCACAAAAGCTGGCATTGCACCTGCAAAAATACATGCCATTTTGAATGTAATCAGCCGCTTGACATTTTAGTGCAGTCAACAGCATGATGCAAGTGCAACAGAAAGTAACATTCTGCATAAAATCCACAGCTCACAGTGTCGCATCAAGCACTTAATTCAGTAGCCAGATGATGGAACCCCTGAACTCCCAGTGCAGAAATGAGGAATTTCCATAAACAAAATTGAGCTTCAAACACAAATCAGCGGTCAGACAGCAATCGGCCAGGTTGGACAAAAGTCTGTCCAACATGGTAACATATTTCCAGATGCTCTAGTGGAGACCATATCACATTCTATATGGAGAACTGGCAAGTAACTGTAGAAGGCACCAAAGATAAGCAAATATAACATGTGTAAATAATTCAACACTGTGCTGTCAGACCCCCATAAACACTATTTACAAACATTCTGCCCTCAGAACTCAAAACAAAACAAACCAAGAATTGGACAAACCAAAGACCAACCTGGGTAGAGGCAGGGCGTGGCATAGTATCATGACTGACCTGACTGCCTCCGCTGTGTTTCCTCTCCAGGTTCAACAAGCTGCCGGCATCAAATTTCTGGCTGTCACAGGTGGGGTGAGCAAAACAAATGGTTGTCATGTGCTTGTCTACAATATTAACTTCATGCAGAACCAGTGACAGACAGGCGACAGACAGGCGACAGACAGTGACACAATATAAAATTAAAAGGAAGAAAAAAAAAGTGATGAGTTAAAGAAAAACAGATTGTTTTTCTCTACTTGCTCTCCTCCTCCTTCATATGTCTTCTTCTTTTTCTTCTTCTTCTTCTTCTTCTTGCTCTCCTCCTCCTCCTCCTCCTCCTCCTCCTTCTTCTTCTTCTCCTTCTTCTTCTTCTTCTTCTTCTTCTTCTTCTTCTCCTCCTCTCCTCCTCCTTCTTCTTCTTGTTCAGCTGATTTAAGTGAGTTTACACATTATAATTCCAGGCCAGTTTGTAATGTATCAGCTTGTATTCATTATCATCATCATCAAGCAGCTTGCCAAATGGACTGGGCGATCATGCCTCTCCACAATCTACAAACTCCAACAGCCTGCATTAATTCAAGTAGTGACACTCCTTCAAGCCAGGACAAGAGGCTGTCAACAATGTTCTGACACCAGCTCCCTCTACCTCTTCCTCCATGAACCCTTCCCAGTGAGCTTGTATGAGAGGGCTTCATTTAATAACACTAGAAAGTGACAGAAACCACAATAAGCTGGCCACTATCCTGTAACCTGGCAACTGTCCTGGAACCTGGCCACTGTCCTGGAACCTGGCCACTGTCCTGTAACCTGGCCACTGTCCTGTAACCTGGCCACTGTCCTGTAACCTGGCCACTGTCCTGTAGCCTGGCCACGGTCCTGTAGCCTGGCCACGGTCCTGTAGCCTGACCACGGTCCTGTAACCTGGCCACGGTCCTGTAGCCTGGCCACGGTCCTGTAGCCTGGCCACGGTCCTGTAGCCTGGCCACGGTCCTGTAGCCTGGCCACGGTCCTGTAGCCTGGCCACGGTCCTGTAGCCTGGCCACGGTCCTGTAACCTGGCCACGGTCCTGTAGCCTAGCCACTGTCCTGTAACCTAGCCACTGTCCTGTAACCTAGCCACGGTCCTGTAGCCTAGCCACGGTCCTGTAGCCTAGCCACTGTCCTGTAACCTAGCCACTGTCCTGTAACCTGGCCAAGGTCCTGTAGCCTAGCCACTGTCCTGTAAACTAGCCACTGTCCTGTAAACTAGCCACTGTCCTGTAACCTAGCCACTATCATGTAACCTAGCCACTATCATGTAACCTGGCCACGGTCCTGTAACGTAGCCACTGTCCTGTAACCTGGCCAAGGTCCTGTAACCTAGCCACTGTCCTGTAACCTAGCCACTATCCTGTAACCTAGCCACTATCATGTAACCTGGCCACAGTCCTGTAACCTGGCCATGGTCCTGTAACCTGGCCATGGTCCTGCAGCCTGGCCACGGTCCTGTAACCTGGCCACGGTCCTGTAACCTGGCGACGGTCCTGTGGCCTGGCCACTGTCCTGTAGCCTGGCCACTGTCCTGTAGCCTGGCCACTGTCCTGTAACCTGGCCACTGTCCTGTAGCCTGGCCACTGTCCTGAAGCCTGGCCACTGTCCTGTAGCCTGGCCACGGTCCTGTAGCCTGGCCATGGTCCTGTAGCCTGGCCACGGTTCTGTAACCTAGCCACGGTCCTGTAACCTGGCCACTGTCCTGTAACCTGGCCACTGTCCTGTAACCTGGCCACTGTCCTGTAACCTGGCCACTGTCCTGTAACCTGGCCACTGTCCTGTAACCTAGCCACTGTCCTGTAACTTGGCCACTGTCCTGTAACCTGGCCACTGTCCTGTAACCTGGCCACTGTCCTGTAACCTGGCCACTGTCCTGTAACCTGGCCACTGTCCTGTAACCTGGCCACTGTCCTGTAACCTAGCCACTGTCCTGTAACCTAGCCACTGTCCTGTAACCTGTCCACTGTCATGTAACCTAGCCACTGTCCTGTAGCCTGGCCACTGTTCTGTAACCTGGCCACTGTCCTGTAGTCTGGCGACTGTCCTGTAACCTAGCCACTGTCTTGTAACCTGGCCACTGTCCTGTAACCTGGCCACTGTCCTGTAACCTGGCCACTGTCCTGTAACCTGGCCACTGTCCTGTAACCTAGCCACTGTCCTGTAACCTGGCCACTGTCCTGTAACCTGGCCACTGTCCTGTAACCTAGCCACTGTCCTGTAACCTGGCCACTGTCCTGTAACCTGGCCACTGTCCTGTAGCCTAGCCACTGTCCTGTAACCTAGCCACTGTCCTGTAACCTAGCCACTGTCCTGTAACCTAGCCACTGTCCTGTAACCTAGCCACTGTCCTGTAACCTGGCCACTGACCTGTAACCTGTCCACTGTCATGTAACCTAGCCACTGTCCTGTAGCCTGGCCACTGTTCTGTAACCTGGCCACTGTCCTGTAGTCTGGCGACTGTCCTGTAACCTAGCCACTGTCCTGTAGCCTGGCCACTGTCCTGTAACCTGGCCACTGTCCTGTAGCCTGGCCACTGTCCTGTAGCCTGGCCACGGTCCCGTAACCTAGCCACTGTCCCGTAACCTAGCCACTGTCCTGTAACCTGGCCAAGGTCCTGTAGCCTAGCCACTGTCCTGTTAAACTAGCCACTGTCCTGTAACCTAGCCACTATCCTGTAACCTAGCCACGGTCCTGTAACCTAGCCAAGGTCCTGTAACCTAGCCACTGTCCTGTAACCTAGCCACTGTCCTGTAACCTAGCCACTATCCTGTAACCTAGCCACTATCCTGTAACCTGGCCACGGTCCTGTAACCTGGCCACAGTCCTGTAACCTGGCCATGGTCCTGCAGCCTGGCCACTGTCCTGTAACCTGGCCACTGTCCTGTAACCTGGCCACGGTCCTGTAGCCTGGCCACTGTCCTGTAACCTGGCCACTGTCCTGTAGCCTGGCCACGGTCCTGTAGCCTGGCCACGGTCCTGTAGCCTGGCCACGGTCCTGTAACCTGGCCACGGTCCTGTAACCTGGCCACTGTCCTGTAACCTGGCCACTGTCCTGTAACCTGGCCACTGTCCTGTAACCTGGCCACTGTCCTGTAACCTGGCCACTGTCCTGTAACCTGGCCACTGTCCTGTAACCTGGCCACTGTCCTGTAACCTGGCCACTGTCCTGTAACCTGGCCACTGTCCTGTAACCTAGCCACTGTCCTGTAACCTAGCCACTGTCCTGTAACTTGGGCACTGTCCTGTAACCTGGCCACTGTCCTGTAACCTGGCCACTGTCCTGTAACCTGGCCACTGTCCTGTAACCTAGCCACTGTCCTGTAACCTAGCCACTGTCCTGTAACCTAGCCACTGTCCTGTAACCTGGCCACTGTCCTGTAACCTAGCCACTGTCCTGTAACCTGGCCACGGTCCTGTAGCCTGGCCACTGTCCTGTAACCTGGCCACTGTCCTGTAGCCTGGCCACGGTCCTGTAGCCTGGCCACGGTCCTGTAGCCTGGCCACGGTCCTGTAACCTGGCCACGGTCCTGTAACCTGGCCACTGTCCTGTAACCTGGCCACTGTCCTGTAACCTGGCCACTGTCCTGTAACCTGGCCACTGTTCTGTAACCTGGCCACTGTCCTGTAGCCTGGCGACTGTCCTGTAACCTAGCCACTGTCTTGTAACCTGGCCACTGTCCTGTAACCTGGCTACTTTCCTGTAACCTGGCCACTGTCCTGTAACCTGGCCACTGTCCTGTAACCTGGCCACTGTCCTGTAACCTGGCCACTGTCCTGTAACCTGGCCACTGTCCTGTAACCTAGCCACTGTCCTGTAACCTAGCCACTGTCCTGTAACCTAGCCACTGTCCTGTAAAAAAGAGCCTTGTCCACATCTTCAGGCACACATGAGCAGAACTGTATTTGACAGATCAACTGGCACTCAGGTGGTGATGTGGTCAGCATCACTCCAGCCATCTTGACTTCCCACGACTGTTACCCATTTCGCTGGGTTGACCTGGGAGCCAAGCTCATGGCTGGGAAAAAAAATATCTAATAGATATGACTTACCCGCAGACCATGATGAGAATCACATTCTGCTAAAGACTTGCTACGTGATAATGATCATGGGGAATTTTGAATGCACACTGTGCACACAGGATCTCACGCCTCTCAGCCTCATCTGAGAGAGCAAGATGTCAAGTCTACTGTCCATAGACAAGACAAGAATGTGACATTATTGTTTGTCTTCAAGATTTGAACAAACTTATGAAGGAGGTTGAGGCTCAACTACATGGAAGCCCCTATGACCACCCCCATCTTGTATCGCCACAGCTTACACATACTGCTAATTGTTACTAGATTTGATTTATCTAGTCACAATCAGGACTGTCACTTTCATTCTCTGCCAATGTAACATGCTGTTGAATGGCATGACAACTGAGAAATTGTCAGTGGTTATGTGGCAATTATAGCCACACACACAAAATTGGGGGGGGGGGGGGGGGGGGGTTAAATAACTTATTTTTTTTATTATGCACGCAGGCTCTATGTCCTGACTGGTAAAAGTATCTGATGAAACCTATGTTTCTTAAATACAAATGACTTTTGTTTACCTGAATTCAGTAGCCTTGGCATCTCTGATCGCCTTCCTCCAAACATCGTAAAGATCAGGATCAAACTTCTTCACTTCTCCAACTTTTCCTTGAAAGTGCACATGCCCATTAGCCATTACAATCACCTGAATGTTGGAAAATAAAGAAGCTGATTACAGAAGCAATCTTTTTTCTTTTCTGTTTCACTGAGACTCAAGTAATACTTCTTTTTCTGCCTTTCATCTCCCTTTAGAGCATCCCTTCCCCCCCCCCCCCCCTCCTCCCTCACCCCAATTCTCACCACATGAGGTCATGAAACTAATCCAATGAACTCTGACTAAAAAGCTTGACCACAGAGAAGAAGATAAATCTGTCACTGCCATAAAATCTTGCTCTGGTGATCAAAACACGCATTTTTCTTAGGAAAATTGTCATTTCCATAGTCTAGGTGTTTAAGCCCAGCAGGTATCAATGTTCAGTATACTCTCATCGAAACAATTGTACTATTCTTTTTTGTATTTTTTTTTTATTCTATTTGTTTTATGGATCATGAGCAGTTTTATCCCTACTACTATTATAAACTGTCACTTTTACTTTAAGTATTATTTTTGCACCTTCATTTATTTTACTGCATTCATTCCATATTACTTCTTTCTCATCCTATATATAACAGTTACTGACTTAGTATTGGTGGTTGGAGTTTTCATGAACATCTGAAAAACATGAAACTATCATACAAACATTATGGTGGATAATGATATGATTAATTCAAGGTTGCAGGTGAAAAAAGAGTATCTATAGACAAAGAAGCGGTGGTGTTCGCAGTAATGTTGCATAAAACACGTTTAAAACATAACCCCCCAAAAACAATCATAAAAACAGTAAATCAGTAGATTAAGTGGTTGTGATGTCCTTTAAAGAAAAAAACATCTTGTTTTTCCAATCATAGCAAAAAACAAATACTTCAACATGATACTGGTGCTGGCGATTATTTCCCAGAGTGCATTTCTAAAACAACAACAAATGTTACCACACAACAAACAAAAACAACTCTTTTCCACAAAGATGAGTTGTATCTACCTGATGAGCATGGGTGAGATATTGTACGTGGTGAGTGACCAAAATGACCGTGCGGTTTCGCTTGACCATTCTTCTGAGTATTGCCTCCTCCATCACATGTTTGCCTACATGGCTGTCCAGGGCGGACAAAGGGTCATCCTGCAATGATACAAGGTCAAGGTTACACAAGCAGCATGCAAGTCTCTCTTGGTCAACAGCTCTTCAAGAATTCAGAGCTGGTGAAATGATGCTGCCAGTGGATAAGATACATATGGATAAAACATGTTAAAATACATCTAGAATATCCTTCCTCTGGAACCCACAGAGGGAAAAAATCAAGATAAGAGCTAAAAAAACAAGGAGAAAATAATTACTGATTTGTGACTTGATGTGAGTCGTTAGAGGACCAATATAGTAAAGGATAGGAAGACTTGATGTGAGTCTTTAGAGGACCAATATAGTAAAGGATAGGAAGACTTGATGTGAGTCGTTAGAGGACCAATATAGTAAAGGATAGAAAGACTTGATGTGAGTCGTTAGAGGACCAATATAGTAAAGGATAGAAAGACTTGATGTGAGTCGTTAGAGGACCAATATAGTAAAGGATAGGAAGACTTGATGTGAGTCGTTAGAGGACCAATATAGTAAAGGATAGAAAGACTTGATGTGAGTCGTTAGAGGACCAATATAGTAAAGGATAGGAAGACTTGATGTGAGTCCTTAGAGGACCAATATAGTAAAGGATAGGAAGACTTGATGTGAGTCGTTAGAGGACCAATATAGTAAAGGATAGGAAGACTTGATGTGAGTCGTTAGAGGACCAATATAGTAAAAGGATAGGAAGACTTGATTTGAGTCGTTAGAGGACCAATATAGTAAAGGATAGGAAGACTTGATGTGAGTCGTTAGAGGACCAATATAGTAAAGGATAGGAAGACTTGATGTGAGTCGTTAGAGGACCACTTCTAGACACATCATGTAGTTTCCCATGCACATACAAACTGACCCACTTCTAGACACATTATGTACAGTTTCCCATGCACATACAAACTGACCCACTTCTAGACACATCATGTAGTTTCCCATGCACATACAAACTGACCCACTTCTAGACACATTATGTACAGTTTCCCATGCATGCACATACACACTGACCCACTTTTAGACATATCATGTACAGTTTCCCATGCACATACACACTGACCCACTTCTAGACACATCATGTACAGTTTCCCATGCACATACACACTGACCCACTTCTAGACACATCATGTACAGTTTCCCATGCACATACACACTGACCCACTTTTAGACACATTATGTAGTTTCCCATGCACATACAAACTGACCCACTTCTAGACACATCATATACAGTTTCCCATGCACATACACACTGACCCACTTCTAGACACATCATGTACAGTTTCCCATGCACATACACACTGACCCACTTCTAGACACATCATGTACAGTTTCCCATGCACATACACACTGACCCACTTCTAGACACATCATGTACAGTTTCCCATGCACATACACACTGACCCACTTTTAGACACATCATATACAGTTTCCCATGCACATACACACTGACCCACTTCTAGACACATCATATACAGTTTCCCATGCACATACACACTGACCCACTTCTAGACACATCATATACAGTTTCCCATGCACATACACACTGACCCACTTCTAGACAAATCATGTACAGTTTCCAATGCACATACACTTCCAGCTACAGACAGACACATGCTGACAGATAAGACCACGACTGACCAACAAGACAGTGTCCCCCTCGGAGTACAGGGCCCTGGCAATGCTGACCCTCTGTTTCTGTCCACCACTCAGGTTGACACCCTAGAAACAAATGATCAATAAAATTTAACATTGAACACACAACAACAACAACAACAACAACAACAACAACAACAACAACAACAACATCATTACAAAACAAATTAAGCTTCTTCTAATTTTCTTCTTTGTGTTCATCAGCTGTAAACTGGGGCAGAAAGTTCTGGTTGTTCATCAATTTCTGGATCTTATCCTTGATCCAGAATTCAAGTTTTACATGCACATCTGTCGCATGACAGCATCCACACATCTGCCACAGCAGGAAGGTCCATATAGCTGACCACCCTAAACTCGTCATCGTAACTATGTAATAGAATAGGCCAAGCATAGTTAGATAGTTCGTTTGTTGTAGGGGAGTCCTGATAGGAAAAATCCATATAAAACCCTTTGATAATGACTCTTTTAGGCTTTGAGTGTCGAATTAAATGTTAGGACGCATTTTCTACGCCTATTCTAAATAAATTGTCTGACCACTGCACTGCATTAGTGAGCGCGATTCGTACGCTAACTGCTGTTGTTAGGGGCCGTGTTTGTGTGCGTCACTTATCTACAGTCCGGTCTTGGAGGCAGGCGTTTTTCCTTGTGTCTCGCCAATTGACCGTTATACAGACAAGATTCCTTGTTCTCTTTTTTATTTACAATGGGTGAGTTTTCTTAAGGACTTTTTAATTGAATATTTGCGTTCATAGTGTCTGTGATGTAGGTAAGTAAGGTCAGCAGCTGGA